GTTAAAGTAAACGATGGCCTTGAAAGGACGGGCATTGCGGTCATTAGCCATGTGTGCTTGGTAATTCTTCGCCAACTCGAGAATGGCGGGCAGAGAATTCTGGAAGCCATCGAGCGTAACAATCTTTTGGGGTACTGCGAAGTGAGTAGGCACTTCATCCTCCTTGACAGTCTGGATAATTTTGAAATCAGGTTTCATGGATTGGTGAACCATGGACATGACTTCCTTCGGGACAGTAGCCGAGAACATGAGCGTCTGACGGTCGACATTCATCGGGTCAGGGAGTAGGCGTTGAATTTCGAAAATCTCAGGAGCGAAACCATCATCTAGCAAGCGATCTGCCTCATCGAGGACAAAGCTAGACAACTTAGGGGCCTCGACTCCACTCTCTGGGTCGGAAAGAATATCCTTGAGTCGGCCGGGCGTACCAACCAACAAGTGACAGCCCTCTCTCTGGATCCGACGCAGGCCTTCCATCTTACGTGTGCCACCGACAGCCGATTGCACCACAATCCCGGTACCAGACGCTATCTTTTTCGCTTCTGTGGCGATCTGCTCCGCAAGCTCACGGGTTGGGGAGATTATGATAGCACGGATATCAGCCGACGTAGCCCCTGAACGCCTGTATGAACGTTTTTTGACAGTGGGGTCTTTCAGGATATTTTGCACCACAGGGAGGAGGAAGGCGAGTGTTTTTCCAGTTCCAGTCTTTGCTTGAGCCAATCTGAGAGAGCATAAACTGTCAGCACCAAAGAACACATTGCGGACGAAAGTCAAACTAACACGTCGTTCCCTTGCAGAGTTTCCTGAATTGTCATGCTCTGAACGTCCGTCATCGTCTTAATTCCCATGTTTTTGTTAATGGTACGAATAATGATGGGGTCGACCAATCCCTGATCCGCCAGCTGCTTGAAACTGGACAAGCGGCCTTCCTGCTCGGCCTCAGCATTCTGAACCTGAGCTTCCGCAACGGCAGAGAAAGAAACCCGAGATGCATGGAAAAGCGAGCGGGGCACATGCGAGATTGCAGAGAAGGCCGGTGGACGCCATTGCAGCTGCTGGGGTGTCACTCTGGCTGAAAGAGACCGTGGAGCAGAAGCGCGCAGAGCATGGGCAACGCCGTTGCGGCGGAAAGCGCCCAACATGATGGGAGCAAAGGGAGATGGGAAAATATAATCAAGGGACTCAAGACGAAAATCGACTATCACACAAAGTGAAACAACTGAAAAGATATTTCAAGGAATACAAATGATGGATAAAAGAGAGATAGGGATGGATGAAAAACGATGGCTGTTTTGGCAAGAGGCGACAAAAGAAAAAAAGTCCGGCAGAAAAGTCGGAAGAGATCTCGAGCAGCCACTCAGAAGGGAAGGATTTCATCCCGACAAGGAACAACAACGATCCGGAGTATGTACCTGGAGGTACTTTATCTTAAGGTGCATATCAACAGCCAATTTCGCTTGTTCATCTCTTGAAATAATATATTGAGTTCTACATTGTAGCGTAGCTATAGTCAATATAGATATACATACATTGTTTTCAAATCCTAGGTGAAAAGCTCGACAGGCAAGTCGATCAAGGAGGTATACTGTATATCTAGTAGTATGTATGGATGTACCGTGCTGTATCAGGCTCCCATATTGATGGCCTCAGGCAGAAGATTGGGTGTTTAAGGCGATAAGAACGAAGGATCATTTAAGTACGGTGTTGAGATCAGAAGAGATGATGAGCCAGCCTATGGTTCCACCGAGGGATGAAATCATTCTATGCAACTGATTGCTTAACTCATCAAGAATTATGCTCATGGATATCCCAGGATTCTGTTCAACAGTTGTTTGTTGGAATTCAACTGATTGAGAATGTGCTGACTAAGCATCGGATGTAGGAAAGTTAAAATAGAAAATTGGAGATTGAGAAAATATAATAAAATAAAATAAAAATAAAATGGATCAACCCATGACTTCATGTTGTGCTCACTCAAGTTATGTACTAGTAACATGATATATACTTCTTTAGGTACATTATACATCCTTCTTATCGGAGTAGTAGGAATGAATGTACCACTACGTAAGTATGCCCGTTCAATTGATTAGTGAACCTCGCGTAGCAACTTTCAGCAACATCTCCGAGCGCGCAATGGAGACTTTTCTCATTTCCTGATTTGTGATCATCAGCAAGCTCCGGTTGTTTTGCCCAGAAGGTTAGGCTCTCCCGTGCCTCCAAAGAAGTCTGAATAATGTAGAGATCCACCCAACTGCTCTTCAAGTTCACGCCACCCATACTTGTCAACCCACTTTGCTGTTTCCGGAACCTTTGCCTCGGACGTGGGATCGGCCAAATCTCTTCCCCGTCCTTTGCCTCTCGAGAAGCTTCTGCCGCGTTTGGGAGTGATCTTGGTTGCTTTATAATCGTCATGCGAGGAGATTGGAACTGCCCCGCTTTGTTTTGGGGGGGGGGAACAACAGGGTGGTGACATCTTCCCACCTATAAAAGGAACATTGTAGCTCTAGCCTATATAACCACTTTACCCATATCTATCTATACCCAAACATAACTTACTTGCTGTGATTATCTTCTCTCAATCTACCTATTCATCCATACCCATACCTTGCCAGCACCATGTCCCAGAACAAGGCTCTCGTTTTCAAGAAGATCCCTCAGGGATATCCTGTCCCTGGACAGGACATTGTCGTCGAGCCCGTGTCAGTCGACCCTAACTCTCCCGCCCCTGCCAATGGTGTTGTCCTGCAGTCTCTTTACACTAGCCTTGATCCCTACATGCGTGGCCGTATGCGCTCCGCTGAGGTGAAGTCCTACTCTCCTGCCTTTGCCATGGACAAGCCCATCGACAGCAGCTCCATCGCCAAGGTCCTCCGCTCCAACAACTCTAAGTACAAGGAAGGCGATTTGGTCATTGGATTCGTCCCCATCCAGGAGTACATTGTCCTGGACGAACAGTCGATCGCCCGCATTCGCCCTCTCGAAAACCCCTTGGGCATCGAGGATATCCGTGTCTTCGTGGGTGCCCTTGGTATGCCCGGTCTGACCGCTTATTCGTCCCTGTACGAAATCGGCAAGCCCAAGAAGGGCGAGACCATCTTCGTTTCTGCCGCCAGCGGTGCCGTCGGTCAGCTGGTCGGTCAGCTCGCTAAGCATGAAGGCCTCAAGGTCATCGGCAGTGTCGGATCAGATGACAAGCTGGAATATATCACTAAGGAGCTGAACTTCGACGGTGGTTTCAACTACAAGAATGAGAAGCCCGCCGATGCGCTGGCCCGCTTGGCCCCCGAAGGTATCGATATCTATTATGAGAACGTTGGAGGCGAGCACCTGGAGGCTGCTTTGGATGCCATGAACAACTTTGGCCGTGTCGTCGTTTGCGGTATGATCTCGCAGTACAACTCGGCCCCTTACCCCATCAAGAACATTCAATACGTCTTGACTAAACGCCTGACCATGCGTGGCTTCATTGTTGGCGATGCCGGCATGGGTGACAAGTACACCAAGGAGCACCAGGAGAACGTTCAGAAGTGGATCAAGGAGGGTTCGTTCAAAGCTCTGACTCACGAGACCGTTGGCATTGATAATTCGGCCGACGCTCTACTTGGTATCTTCCACGGAAAGAACAAGGGCAAGGCTGTCCTGAAGTTCTAAGCTGTTCATCTTTCATTGCATAGTATATAGTTCATTTTGCAGAGGCGTTATTTGTGAACCTCGGTAAATTGATGTTATAATGGATAGTATTGAGAATATAATGAATCTTCAAGAAAAATGGTACAATTTCTGGTAAAAAATTTTTTTTAACATTAGGAATGCCATAATAGCAGTAAAATGTAAGCGACGTGCCGACAACCCCAAGAAGGCTGTAAGGGAGGCTTTCATGTTTTCCGTCTGTATAGCCGATTAATATTATTTGCCGGAACGTCGGCCATTTTCGGCTGGGCGGAGAGAGACGGGCCAATCAGCTACGCTGCAATAGGATGACCGCATTCCCGATTGGACTTCCGAGGTTCCATCCGAACTTGAACGACTTCATCTTGTTGCTTTGCCTTGTGCAGCGTTGAGTCGCAGAGAATATACCCAACGTCTTGCATTCCAACACCCTCACAATGGCCTCAATCGCCCGCCAGTCTTCCCTCCTCCGGCAGTCCTGCCTCTCTGCTTTCCGCTCGCCATTCGCGACCAGAAATGGCGCCGGCGTGTCGCAGGTTGTGGCCTTCCACGCCTCCGCGAAGAAGCAGATCCTGCCTCCTTTGCCTCGTGAGTGACTCCTAATATGACTTAGTCGTGACTGTAATGACAGTTATGACTCTTGGTCAACTAAGGAAAGAGATGCTAACGAGTACGAACAGAGACCATTCAGGGAACGAGTACGTCCATCACCGACTCCTGAAATACTCAAAGCGAGCTGCCTGTTTGCTGCAGAGATACAGTGGAACTAACCGGTCAATTACGTAGTGAACGACCCTGCTCCCATCCCCACCCCTCACCCCTCGGAGGGAAGCTACCACTGGACCTTTGAGAGGTGTGTAGATACGCTCGGTTTCATGCACCTGATAGGACACTGAACTAACGACTGAACAGAGCTATCTCCGCCGGTCTTGTCCCTCTCACTATTGCCCCCTTCGCTGCTGGCTCTCTCAACCCGGTCATGGACGCAGTCCTTTGCTCCTTCATCGTTCTTCACTCCCACATTGGATTCCAGTACGTTCATTCGCCTGGGCATGAAGCTTTGATTCCAATCGATACTGACACCACGCAGGGCTGCCATCATTGACTACTTCCCCGCTCGCCGTGTTCCCAAGACCGCCACATTCTGCAACTGGCTCCTGCGTGCCTTCACTCTTACCACTGCCGTCGGTCTGTACGAGTTCGAGACAAATGACGTTGGTGTAACAGAGGCTTTCAAGAGGGTGTGGAAGGCATAGATTGTTGCATTGATATATCCCTGTTTTTTCTCATTACTTTCTTTTGAACTTTCCTTCCGTTCAGGCGTTTTGCCTATGTACATGCTGTTTCTGTTAAAGTAAGCCAGTCCAGCTGGTTGGCGCTCTTGGTATTGAGCTAAAAGATATGTAACTGCTCGAATGGATCCTATTGGCAAATATTTTTTTCCCTTTTTTTTTCTAAACCATTTCTATGCGGCCCTCGATAACCCTCAAAACTGTACAAACGACCAGCGTTTATCAAAACATGCCGTATGCAAGCAAACCACGGTCCTCCAACCTAATCGCTTTCCTCTTCCACTTCTTGCTCAAGCCCACCCGACAACCGATCATCATCATCAGCCTTCTCAACCACCTTTTCCATCAACTTCAAAGCCGACTTCAACGGCAACCCCACCACATTATCCCAGCTCCCCTCAATACTCTCCACCAAAATCGACCCCAGCCCCTGCAACCCATAGCCACCAGCCTTATCCGCCCCCTCCCTAGTCCGCACATAAGCCAAGATCAACTCATCCGTAACCTCCCCATCAAACCGCACCCTCGTCTCCTCCAGTGCCGTCTCAAGCGCATACCCCGGCTGCCGCGCACTAACCAACGGCGCCATCGCCGCCATCGCCGTATACACCTTATGGTCACGGTTATCCCGTAGCGACTTCAGCATGGCAATATGCTGCGCCTCGGAGCGCGGCTTCTCAAGAATCGTCCCGGTTGCCGTATCCACGACGATGGTGTCCGCCGCGAGAATCAGCGCCGGCTCGCCCTTCTCCTCATTCACGATCTCCTGTTCATACACTGCTTGCGCCTTCTTTGTGGCCGTGGCGAGCACGTACTCGAATGGCTCCATTGTCTTGGGGAAATCCTCTTCTGCGTTGGACGGGATGATTTCTAGGTTGGGCAGGCCGAGGTGGGACATGATTTGTCTGCGGCGCGGGGATTGGGAGGCAAGGATGACTCGCTTACCGCGAAGCTCGTTGAGCACCGGGAGGGAGAGCGGCGGTGGGCGGGGGAGGGGTGTGCGCGCTGGTGGGTTGTTGCTTGTTGTGTCGTAGGCGGGCGGGGGGTCGATGGGTTCGGATTGGGAGAGGAGGGCGGCTTTTGAGTCGGACATTTTGATTTATAGTGTTATCCGTCCTCTTTTTTCTTGAGCGTATTGTAAATAAGGTTGCAGATATATCTATATGATTGAACGTGTCCGGTAAGCTTTCTTGATGCGCGGTCGATTTGTTCGAATATGACTCGTATCTTTTTAGTTTCTAGACCTTGATATATGGCGGTAGATTGTGGCAGAATCTATCGATAAGGTGGTTTTCTATTTGCTTGCGGGTTTTCCGAATCGCCTATTAAATGTTGGTGTCGGAATACCGATGTATACTCGCTGGTCGTTTAAGAGTTAGCCAGGCATGAAGAGTTCGAAGAAACGATTGTATATATGATAAGTACAAGGGAATCAGTGTGTAAATTAAACTATGTTTTATCATTTCCTTTTATTTTCATTTTTTAATATTTTTTTTTTCTATTTCTTTTTGCTTGTGTCCATATCTTCTAGAACGTGTGCCAAGCGGATGTAAGACTCTGGTACATGTACCCAGAGCCACGATAAGAATGAACGATGGCACCCATGGGTTAGGTATAAAGTAGGCAATATTGGAAACAAAGGGGCAAGATACCCGCGGGAAGCAATGCTACTTCATAATAACAATCAAAAGCAGCAATTATGCAGCAGGACATGTCTTAAGTAATTGGGTTTGAAGCTGAATATATATTTTTACTACGACTGCATTGATGAGCGATTGGTAAACAAGTTTGAGAACACATATAGTTGTAATTTGAAGTATCCATCGTTTCTCTTGCTAGAAATTTTTTAATAGTGGGTTGAGATTCTACAATGTCCATGGTTGTAGATATATCCGATATTGATCGATCCCTTGCCTCCCACTCTTTCATATCCACTTCTGAAGAGTTACACGAGTATATGGCCGAGAACCTCATATATATATTTCTCCAAGTCAGCCTACACAGAAAGGTAGGACAAAGCTGATATTGTACTTGTAAAGCGGTAAATGACAATAAGCATAACCGTCCCCTATCCTGTTCAATCATTACAAACCCAACACCTAAACACCTTAAAAGCGCCTTGACAAATCGAAATTGATGTACAATGAGCAGATAGGGGAGAATAAAAAAAAGAAAAGAAAGAAAGAAAGAAAAAACCAAAATAAAAAAGCCGGCAGCAAAGCAAGATATGATCAAGGCGGGCACGATATGACAAGACAACGAGCCTAACCGTGGCTCGAAAAATTTTTATTAACAGAAAGTAATTCATGCCTCCTTTCTTTCGCATTGAATGGCATTTGAAATGACAATACCAAGCGCAGGGTACTGTGTTCATCCGCACAACTCCGTAAACCAAGTCATCAACATCATCATGTTTCATGCCCGAGCGAACCTCGGCTGAGGATGCGAACCCCGGCGGCCGCGCCAACGTCACGACCGAAATGTATCATCAATGCGACCACCTCTGCGCTCAATCTCAGCTATGAGCTCCTGTCTCTCCTGAAGTTGCATGTGAATGAAATCCACGGTCTTTCTCAGCACAATGCTTTCGCTTCGGCCCTGGCCTTCCAGGCCCGGAACTAGCTCCGTCAGGCGATCGAAGCCCTCGCGGATCGCTGCACGGCGCTTTTGCTCTGATGCAATGTGGTTGTTCTTCTTTTCTTGCTCCGTCAGTCGCGGTTTCTCCTTGTCCTGGGCGCTGCTTGAGCCGGCATGCTTGGATGATGAAGCGGTGGGGGTAGATGAAGAACGGTCATCGCGGTCGTCGGTCGTGTTAATTATGCCTGGACCGGGAGAGCACGAGGTTTCAGAAGAGCTGGAAGCAAGGGATGCTGGTGGTTGTGCAGACGGCATGGTGGTTGGTGGTTGTTGTTGCTGCTGTTGTTGTTGAGTTGCTAGTTGCTGGAAGTTGCGTCGGAGAGATTTTCATGTGATAGTAGACGGAGTGGGTAAAATGTACAAGAGAGATGAGAGGGCTCCGGGGAACTAGAAAGGAATGTGAATGGGAAAAGAGAGGAAAACTAGCGTCTAAAAGTATGTAAATTAAGACAGGTGAGAAAGGTAAAAGAAATAGAAAAAGAAAGAAGGTTAAAAAGCAATTAATGAGTGAGAGTCCCTAGGGGGAATTTGTTCTAAGCGTACCTAGTGACCTGCATGACTGACCACTTTATATGCTTCGCCGTACAATCAAATCTTTGAGCACACACTAAGAAATTCCCCCCAAAGTAACCTAAGGTGCGGAGAAATTAATTTAGTTGCCGGATCGAGCGCTGCCAAGACTTCTCGATCCGTGGCCTTGGCACATTACGTCATCGATGCCAATTGCTCATCCTCAGGCCACTACTACTCAATCTTTCTAGTAGATTCATGCGTATCCCGGACCTGTCGTTCACTGACTTTCTTTCTTACAGCAATTGGCCATTCTCGACTCCTCGGTTTCTGAATTTGTGCGACCTATTAAACCCGCTAACTAGATCAACCGTACTGGTGATCAGATACCTACTACCAACATAGCACATCGTACAGCATTTAAACTACACATAAAGCACAATGACAAGTCGCCAACCCCTTCGCGGCTCCTGCCATTGTGGGCGCAATCAATACGTTATACAGCTCCCAGAGGATGTCTCCAAGCGCGCAGAGATCTACTTTGACAGTAGTCGGGATAGCCGTACGTCACTCACCCCCATACACCCTCACCAGCCATGAAACGATATCACTAAAAATATGCGCCTAAAACAGGAAGAATCCACGGAACGCCTCTTACGGCATGGCTTCGAGTTCCTCTGGACTGGTACCAATCTCATACCGAGTCGTACTTTGACGACGAATCGCGCGCGACAATCCGGCGCACCTTCTCCCCCGCTCACGCCCCGCATACACAGCATGCTTTCTGCGGGTTTTGTGGAACACCTCTCTCATATTGGACTGATATTCCCAGTGAAGAGGCGAACTACATGTCGGTGACAATTGGGAGTCTCTCGGGGGATGATCAACGATTGCTGGACTACTTGGGTCTTCTTTCGGAAGACGAAGATGGAGAAGTGGAAGCTGAAGGTAGCCGGGGAGACCGGCCGACTGATATTCCACTTCGCACAACGCAAGCACCCTTTTCGCCGTCTTCTACTATCATACCTTCTTCAAGTGGCACAATGGGCGTCTCTAAGACCTATAGACAAGGCACGGTAGCTGGGATTCCGTGGTTTGAAGAGATGATCGAGGGTAGTCGATTGGGCCGCATGATGAAGTCTAGACGTGGGTTCGGTGTCAGTGATGATCAGTCAACAACAATACAATGGGAGGTTAGCGAATGGACGCATGACGGGTCAGAGGGGGCTCAACCGAGTTCGTCCTCCGCGAAGAGGAAGCGTGGGCAGCATACAAGTGTAGAGGAAAGTGGATCCCCGTAAGGATTAGAAAGGTAAAAGCACAACACACTATGGTTTACTAATACAGTTATCATAATTTATTCTTTTGGCTCTAGGTTGCTGTTATATAGCCAAGAAGTCAGGGTACATATCTTAGTTACTGGGCCAATAATTTAGCTATTGGTAACTCTACAGTAAGTACTAGTACAGGCAATTTATAACCTGCTCACTTGCAACATTCCACCGCTGTATATGTAAATATTACAATAATGGTCTATGGGTATAGAGGATATGTTTGCTCAATACACTGTACTCATGACTATAATAATAATGCTCTAGGCTGGACTTAATCATCAGATATGGATACTTTCTAGAGTAGAGTATACAAGCCGCATCGACATCGAATATACATTATAAACTAAATCAGATCTTAGAGATCATAATCTGCTATGAAATACCACAAGCATTTAGAACCATAACGTGACTATGCATGCCTTACGCGATCCTCCTTTCACAGACCTGACTTCCTAATTGGGTATCGCGCCATGGCCTCGCTTAATGTTTCCATGTCTACTAACAGTGTAGTTGAAGCATGTCTTTGTCTGTTCTCAAACAAGGAGCACTGCTGAATTAATCACACCCTTCTCCTCATTCTCATAGGTACTCCCGTCACTTTCCAGCATTCAGTACCCATAAGTCTTTCTGTTGTGGCATATGACCGAGGAGCTCCCACTATACATTCATACATGTATAGATGGGAGCTCCTGCACTACTTGGCCCGTTTAACGGCGCGGCTGCTCATCAGCTACTTTTAAAACCAACCCACGGCTCTTCAAAGAAGCAATCGACATGTGTCCAATCTGCGTTTAGTGAGTTTCCTTAACAACCTCGTCCAAGGGTAGATGTGTTGACATATTGGTAGGATACCTCTTCAAGTATGATCCATCATTGCAAAATAGGGCTCCCACAATAGATGCTCTTTCAGGACCTTCATAGTTTCCTTCTAGACCGAGGATGAGCTCGAATGAGCCTGGTCTCCAGACGTTGAGACCCATCAAGCGTTTCGATACCGCGAGCAGATATGATAGCGATTATTTCGATGCCGTCAACTGATGAAACTCAATATCACGACTGGCGACTGGAAATACTCGAGAACTTCCAAATATGCTAGAGCTATGTAAACTGCTGTTAGCTGTGCATGTATACAGAAATTCGAATCACATACGAGGCATGTACTCCCAAGAATTGATAGATAATCCAATGAGGAACACAAGACAACATTGATGAGTAGGTCCTAATTACTGCCAAAGAATGTTAGACTTGGCTGTATATCCATGAAATCACGAGAAAGGGCCGAAGAAGGTCCTATCCTGGAGGTGAATGGTGGTGATTACAACTGCAGAATTCCGTTTTCTTCTACTTTCGTTCAGTGATTGACTCTTTTGTTTGCACTGCGAACCATTCTCATACCTCAGCGAGAAGGCCAGGCAGCGACGAGGTGATCGCACGCACGACATCATCTTTTCCCAACGAAACACTCTTCCCCAGACAGTCTGCACGGCAACACATTTATCTCTCTGTGAAGAAAGGACAGCCAGTTTACCACACGTCCACAATATCTCTTTCAACCAACCCCTTCCATAATTCCTCATCTTGAAAGCACCTCTCATATTCCATTCAACCAGCCATTCAGATTGCATTTTATCTCTATAGCTTCTTCAGAAATCACTATTACACATCTACACATCAATACTCTACTCAATATGTCTTCTTACGCCCCTCGTTTGCACGACCCTTTTGTGGACTTTTCTATTACAGGCAGACAAGAAGAGACACCCAGCTATGAAAAGCAAGTCCATATGACTAGCAAAGGTCAGTAACTTATTCTCATGCCACTTCTACACGAGAGTAGAGCCTCCTAGAGCGTCGTATCTGAGTCATCCCAAGTGATGAACCACTCGTGCTAGGATGGTTCCTGAATCCTGATCTATACGTTGATAAACTACACAAACTCTCTATAGATCTCTGGATAAGCCGTTCTCTTTTCATTTGCGCCACTAACTTTGCATCTTAGGAACGGATCAAGATGCTAGATCTGATTCCCCATGTAGTGAGAGTGACACATCGACGATAAAGCCCTATCACTCTGGTAACTCTCGAGAACAGGGTAATCAGAACATCCCTTCCACCTTTCCCCTCTACCGCTTGCTAACAATCGTACAGAACAGACCCGCAAACATGATACTCCCGAGGAGCCTACATATCTGAATTTCCCAACTCCTCAGCCTTCTACCCGTATTCCTCGTGGACCAGTCTTTCAGAGACAATGCCAGGCTATTACTTCACAGAAAGGCGGCCGAGTCATCTCAGAGCAACGCAGCTCAATCCCGATCCCAATCCCAGTCCGGAGTCCTGAGCGCCTGAAAAGTCGTTCAAAGACATCGAGTGAGGGGTTTTCTGGTGGTATTCGAGTAATCGACAAGCCTCGTGGCCCTCGTCCCCACATTCTGGCTGAGCAGAAGAAAGACTCAGTTTCGAGTTCGGTTGAAGAAGCACCTAAGCTGCCGAAAGAAAGCATCACGCCTTCCTCATCACCATCCGGCGGTTGGGACCTTGGAGAAGAAATGCCTAAGCGACCAACCAATGTGTACACTGGTGAATATCGTACTCGCCCTACCCTCAGAATTGCTCCTTCAGCCGAGAAGATTATCATGGGTCCAGATAGCCCTAGCAGTATGTATGCGGGCACGCAACGATCGAACCCAGCCCTCGTTCAGTATCCGGATACAACTAAACACGGTCTTGAAAAAGGACTTCGTAACACTGAGGATACACCAGGGACCCCAGGATACAAGCAGCAAGCCAGCAATGCCGCTGAAGACAATCCGGTGACTCCACCATCCAACACTCCTCAGATATCACTTGAGACAACGCCAAAGAGGGACACCAGTGGCCGCCAATTTTCAATTCCCCGCAAGCCTCTCAACAGCCCAAGCCTATCATCTCTTTCCCACCCCAGCCCCGAAAGTATGCAGTTTGCCCCTCCCATACCAAAGCTCCCTGAGTCATACAAGACATTAATGAAAGGAGGCATGGCATCTGGCCCTGTAACTCCGAAAAAGACTGTTTCTCCCGGAGCTGAGAAGGTTGGGCAATGTCCAGGAGAGTGTAAAAGTGAGGTGACGACCAAGCCTCAAAACAAACGGACAACGTCACTTCAAACTGCGTCCGACTTCCCCATTCACGATGCGCCACGCTCAGTCCAGCACAGGACATTTGACGACATCGTATCACAAAGTCCTAGCCATGATATGACACCCCAAAGCGCTAGGATTCCTGATTCCCGGAGCAACCGTATGCTTGATGGCTTTCGAAATATCTTCAAGCATAGAAGCACCATGGATAAGGGTTGGAAGGGACCTAACGAAGCATCTGGCCTTGCAATCAAAGACCTCGGCCCTAGTAGTGCGAAGCTTATCACAAGTCCCGAATATAGCAAGCTCGACTCTGGAAGGACATGGCCTAAGGCAAGCGCCAAGTATCCCAAGTTGTCTGAGGGTTGGAACAAAAACCTGCGCCTCCCTATACCCTTAGCAGACAGGCACAAGAGGCCAACAATCTCGGCCCCCATCCCCATATCCTCTGAAAACATGCCTTCTTTCGCCCGATCCAAAATGGTAGCACGCACCAGGGCCGTGACTAGTCCACGTGGACAATCAGATATCGTTCCTCAAGGTCCACCGCGCAGGACTCACACAGTGGCTGCCACCACTGGAAGTCCCCAACACACTAGTCGCCCCAGCAAAGGAACCGAGGCAAACATGTCGCCAGTGCCAAAGCAAACTAACCTACCGCATTCTGCGGGGCTGTCTAAACCGGACACTATCACTTCTCAGACGAAAGCTCCTCAGATTGAGAGAAATGTCTCCAGCTCGCTGTCTAAGACTCTGGAAGAGATCCACTCTTGTGTGGAACAGCTCTGCAACAAAGCGCGGGACGAAAGCACTCCGAGTAAGCGGGAAAGAAATCTCCGCGTAAGTATCGTTTACATTCATAATTTCTGCTTACTTTGGAACTGACAGATGATTGGCTCTAGATGGCGCTGTCGTTGCAGCAGCAAGTCAGTGACTACAACAGCATCGAGAAAGAAGTCGCAGAGGCTGAAGCATTGGTGTCAAAGAAACGCGCGGATAAATGCCTTGCTGAAAACATCCTGTTCGAATCATATGCCCAGATTCGGGCTCATATGGATGAGGATTAGATATCTATCAGCTTATACGATGCTTAGTTCTCAATGGCTAAGAGGAACGTTAGTTGAGCATGCCTACCTTCTAACACTAAGATGGCTGTCTTGGTAAACATTCGGGTCCCGTGGGAAGGTGTACGAAGTCAATTTTGAGAATAGGGGGTTTCTTTGAATGTCACGACATATTTGTTTCCTTTCATGACTAGCGCGGACTGCTCCTTCCTCCATTCTCTGGGAACGTATAACTACTACAAGTCAGTATCGATACTAAGAGAGGATAGAAGTAAGTCTGGCGTTTGAAACAGTGTGTTTATTTTGCTTTCTGTCGTCTCGTTTGCCCTTGTTCTTAGGGAAATGAACAAAAGAACGGAAAATAGAAACTGACCAAAAAAAAGGAGCGAAATATTAGATTGTCTTAAGAAGAAAATAATATCTGCATGGGTGACCATTCATGGTCTTGTGTATCTCTAGGTTGCATTCTGTTGAGCTACACGTTGTCGTCCACAGTAATAACTGAGGAACAATAGGAGATGTAAAAAGAAGTTGAAAGCTTGTGATAAAGCAAATCACGATACACATCCTATGTCTGTGGTTTTAGAAGCTTCACATGTTCATTAAAGGAACAGCTGCACATAACGGGCGCGAGCACAAGCATTTTGGTGTGCTCGCGCCCTGAGCGGGAGAGAGAGGTGGAAGAAGGAACGAAGGAAAGAAGGAGGAGGACAAAAGCCTGAGGCCGACGATTTATATGGTGAGGATTTCTTCCTTCCTGATATGTTGTGTTTGTCTGGTTGCCTTGTTTTTCACGCGCCACCACAGTCACAGTTTTCGTCACCAGACCTGCTCTTTGTTTCAGATCTCATATCGACAATCAAGGCCAGAATTGCTTCCACAAGAGTCTTTTTGTCCCTTTCCACATCTCAAGGTAAACAACTCTCACTCAGTATGATACCCTGATTTATGGAATACTGAAGATATGTGACAGTCACATCCTTACTTAGGATCCAAAACACCCACTAGTTGGATTTAACTGGGTATCCCAACTCACGCCATGACAAGAGGTGGAAGGTATGGGAGACGCCAAACCGGCCAGGTAAGTCCCGTATTATACTAAGTCCCGCGAACTAATACACAGGCTAACCGTATATCTTGTGGCATTGTCAGGGTGTGGCATACTCAATGCAACCTCTCCTACACGGTTACGGGACCCCATATCCGGTATTTCCGAGACCTATTGCTTCGGTGTCACCTGGTTTGATGTCTTCTCCACATGGCTTTGTACCCCTGCCGCATGATGGGTTTCCTCCCAGCTCGTTCTTGCGTCAGCAGCCGTCGGGCCCTCCTCCTCTTCTCTGGAGTCCTGGACCCATCCCTGAAAACTATGACCAGTATGAAGATCCTGGGATGAGGAGGAACGGAAACCAGCTCCCCAATACACTTCCCCCGAGACAGCCTCCTCTACCTTCCCAACCAACCCAGGGCTACCCAAGCCAACATGCTCGACCTGTCCATCCCATTCCACAAATCCTGCCTGGTCAGCCGTTTCCCCCGTCCCAGTCCGTTCAACCGCTACCACAATATCAGCCATTTCACCCTATCCTACCAAGTCATTCTACCCGATCAAGTCAAAACAACCAGCCGTTCCAGCCCCCTCCCCATCTTCGGCATGCCCCATCCATTTCATTTTATCCATATCAACCTGTTGCTGCATCTGCTGTGCCCTGCGTCGCTCCGGTATCATACTACACAGCATATCCGGTAAGTAAGGTTTCTCGCACGTCCACACAGTACTCACACTGATGAAATGACATATGGTAGGCATATCCATATCAGCAACCCCCATACCAGCAATACCCATGTCTTGCGAATGGTACGGGGGAAGGTCATATACCGGAGACAGCAACCAATCACACGGGAACTCAATTCAGGGACCCTCAACTTCGCGGTGACGCCCCTGAGTTTTTCCCAATCCGTCAGAGGGCGAGGAGGTTGACGGGAGACAAGTATTTGATTATCACTAGCCCGTGAAGCCGTATATTGAGTGCTACATTGTGCTTTGTGGTTGTGCTGTCGCCCGTTTGAGTTTCACATCTCTTCATCTTACGCTGACTTGTCAGACTTAGATGTTCTGGGGTGGTTGATATGGATGGCTCCGTTTGGGAAGGTGGATAAATTGGCGTTTGGATTGTGTGTGAAGCTGTAGACAGGGAGGTATTTCATCAGAGCTGAGGATACCAGCATAGCATACAATGGGATTGTTCCATAATTAATTTACTTTCGTCAAGTCTCACTTAGGGTTAATCCCGGGGGGAAATCCGGACGCAGATGACCAATCAGATAAGGGGCCCTAAAAATGAGGGCGGAGACAACAGTTTAAACTACCTCGGGAAAAGATGTCCGCAACGCCTGCCCGAACAGGTTTAGAGAAGGGGGAATGGTTGGGGTCGTGTGGGGGATCCTCTTGTCTCTCTCCCTCCTCCTCCTCCTCTTCCTCCCACTCCCATCATCATCATCAACTTCGCACAATACAGACAATCAACTGAACTTGGACAATGGGCATGACCTGTCAACTCGAAAGGATCCCTGCACTGTTAGCCTTGTCATACTGGAACCACTAAACCGATCCGGGGTCATCCTGTTTGTTCTCAATTGCTGTAAGACGGACACACTAATGTATGCTCGGCATCTCGCATGGGTTACCGATTCGAGCCAAACATCCACACTCCTTACTTTAATTCCATACCACATCATCCACATAACAGTGTAACTTGCCCGTGGGCCTTGTGCGACCAGCCCCGCCTTGTCCAACATGGTCTTTTGCGGGAAGCCGAGCAAAGGTTGTGGTGAATGCCGATCGCGGAAGATCCGTTGCGACCAGGCCCGGCCAACATGCTCCCAGTGTATCAAGGGAAACCGCGTGTGTCCCGGATATAGGGATGAGTTGTCGTTGATGTTCCGCGATGAAAGCCAACAGGTGGTCCGGAAGGCCAAAGCCGGTACCACCGGACGACGGGCTAAAAAGTCCCCTAAATCCACTCGCATGCTTTCCCCAAGCGGGAGTAGCCCTCAAGAGACCACCACATCATCGTCCCTAACAAGTGACATATCGGATTTCAACGATCTTTCCGATCTGTATCCATCGCCACCGGCGGCACAGCAAGTCGCCGGTCCCCTGTCTCCGAAAATCGCTCCTCCTCCATCATACCAATTTACTGAAGATGAAGCCGTGTGCTTTTTCCTTCGCTTTAACGCGTGGCCCGGAGCCTGTTGGATAATGGAATTTTCACCGGATTTCTTCGTGATTCCAGAGGTGACCCTCAGCCAGCAGGCAATGAAGGCAAGCCTTGTTGCGGTTGGGACTGCCATGCTTTCGCGTATCCGACAAGATGGGCCTCTGAAGATTGCTGCGGAGAAAGAATATGGCAATGCTCTGAATTTGATGTACACCGCTGTGATGGATGAAGAGGAGGCAAAGTCTAATCCAACCCTCGGTGCAGTTCTATTACTAGCCATCTTTGAGGTAAATCGCACTCGTCTCGTTCTTCTTCTCTTCTCCTCACTTACTAGATCCTTCCATCGTACTAACGGCAAGATACAGGTCGTCACGAGTAGAGCCCCGGGAAATATTGAGAAATGGACGAATCATATTTATGGCGCTGCGGCATTACTTGAAGTGCGAGGTCCAGAGCAACTACAAGACGAAGATGGACTGAAGCTGTTTGTTCAGTTAAGATTTCAGATCGTATGTTGAAATAAGAACACCCCTTCCTCACTCTCTTGCTTGTCCCCGTATATGCTAATGACCCGGGTCAGATCATTTGCTGCCTTCAAAGAGCGATGCGGGTCCCCGATTCCCTGATTGACTGCTCGAAGGTTGCCATGTTTCTGCGAACCAGGGTCGATGTGTATGGTGACCGTTTGATTGGCATCGCGGGCAGACTATCCAATTTACGAGCAGATATTAACATGGGGTTATTAGTTGATCCGCATGAGATGCTATCTGCCGCTTACGGCATTGAGGCGGAGCTAATGGGATGGATTGCAGCCCTACCCCCTGAGTTCTTGTACACTAATGTTGAAAGCCCAACATTGTCGGAACTTTCGTCCAACATGTGGGGTCAGGGACCTCATCCATACAACAGCAAATATCACATATACAGCGATCTCTGGACATGCCATACTTTTAACCAATATCGCTGTGCCCGAATCATTGTGAGCGAAATCATCCTAACCTGCCTGCGCCAACTCTCCCTCAATGTGCCGGCAGCTGCAGTTTCCAGTGACCTTCTAGAGCACTGCACTAGACTGCGCAATACGACGCGTCAGCTCGCGAACGACATTTGCGCCAGCGTCCCATACCATTTCAGTGTGGGGAACATCCCGATGGGTCCCTTCGATAGTCTCCCCGTGAATCAGAGCTACGTCGCTGGCTTGCTTCTTCTTTGGCCACTGGTTCTCGCGGGAGCAACAGAGTCGTTGAATCATCCTATGCGTAAATGGGTGATTTCCTGCTTTCGGCTCATCGGCCATAGCATGGGCGTAGATCAAGCCCTGGCTTTGATTGAGGTCCTAGAGTGTGAATCGGGAATTTTCGACGGCGTGGGGGATGGCGATGACGGTGTTTTCTTCCGTGAGACTGTTTCACTAGCGACAAATCGAGTTTTGGTAGGAACGTGGGCTTCCTGATCACCTTCCCGCTGTTGATAGCATTGGACAAACTGCCGAAGGCCTATTTACGCATATATATATTTCATCTTCTCTTTATTCGATTTATGTTAACGACAATACCCCATGTTTATTCACCTATGATGTCGCTTTTCTTTCGGTGTTTTTCTTTACTCCCGGGCTGACTGATTGCGTTAGATGCGATCGTTGGGGAACGGCCAGCCATAGGGTATATACTAGTTTTACCAGCTCCCCAAACATGCATGCATATGAGTCCTTTTGAGAAAGTATTGTGTGAAAGTAACGCGGACGACTTGAATTCGGAAATGACGGATGTCTGATGATTTATTATTGCTTGGTAGTTGTGTTGTCACTCATCGTACTGCTCTGTCATTCGAAATGCAATCAAATGAGCTTATGAAGACGGCAGAGGATGTGCTACCAGATGTCATTCCGTGTCTTTTGAACAAGACCCCAAATACCAGAGACACAGGTAACTCATCCTGACAAGTTTAAAAGTTACTTCACATAATCCATGATTAGCTTGACTTTTTATGCCAGAAAGCAAACATAGGATGACCATGGAAGATAATATCCAATTTCTAGGACCCATCACAGACCAATGTGTTATGCAAAATGACCCTAAAATCCCCGTTCTCAGAGGGAAAGAAAAGAAAAATAAAAAGAAGAAAGATGGAACAATTTTTCTCCAAGTATATTATGCCCACATTGCTTTGAATTTGTGTTCAAACTCAGCCTGGAGCATTTTGAACGCTTCTAGGACTAGAGAGACGCCCTGGCTTTCTAGGACTGTGCTCGCAAGAGAGACGTGGTCAGTCACATCCGTGCTTTGTGCGTGAATACTAGTATTCTTCTTCTTTTAACTTCCCTTCAAATCGCCAAGAGTCTCTTGGACAAGGCCTGGGTTGGTTTCTTCCCTCTTTTCTCTGTTCAGCTCGTCATCACTCACTTTGTCTTCCCAGCTCTCTGCTACTTTAGGCTTTTAAGCTTTGGCCAGCATGGACGGAAGAGGTTGTTTTGGAAGTCCCATTTTCTGATTTCTGCTTGACTTGGGAGTCTTATCTTTGGGCTCGAAGACTTCTTCTCTTGCGAGACTAATATCTAACTCTTCTTCATGGACGTCGCCACTACCCATAATGTCTAATAGATGGGGGTCAGTGCTAGGGGATAATTTGAGGAAGTTCTCAAGGCTAGTCACGATGGTAGCCAAAACGAGAGAAAAGTCGTTTAGAACAAACCAAATGTCACCCTTGCGGATCCTATTGTCCTTTTCGAGGGCGTGCACATTGCCATGCTTGAAGAAGTCGAGTAGGTACGCGTTCAAGAGGATATTTCTTTCCTGAAGGTACAATTCAACGTAAGGGACAACGGCTTGCTCGAGCCATACCCCGCTTCGGACGTTTTCGCAGAGCTCAGGGATACTGTTCCATTTGTCGCGGCGACCGGATAGGGCGACGAAGGCAGAATACACTTTTGTTGGAGGGAGGAATGGCATTGATGGGGTGATATCCTTGGCCGGTGTATCGCCTCTACATTTGAAGTTGGTTAAAGGTAGAAAGCAGTCTGCGTCTTTGATGTATTAGTTGATGTATGTTGTGACGTAGGTTGAGTAAATATCTAATGTCTTTTCATTGTGATAACGCAGAGTTCGCGCTGACTTCTTGGGCATTGGGGGGTGGATTACCAATGACGGTGAGCTTTTGGTTGTTATCTGTTGCGATTCTAAGATAGCTGGTCTGAGGTTATGGCGGCCGAATAAGTGTGACATGACCAGCATTAGTGTCAAAAGCACTTGCTTAGGTTTATGGCGGATGTCTCTGCGAAGGTCATGGAAGTAAACCCCACTGAGCAGCGCGCGGAAGGCAAAGCTGGAATTCCCAGTGCTATAGAGGTGGGCTATTGTGTTGGAGAAATTCAGTGGTGCTCCGCCTTGGTCCAAAAAGTAGTTGCGCCGAAGGTATTCAACAGAGAAACGGAGATGGTGAAGAACTGTATATTTTGACTCTGGCCCGCCAATGTAGATACGTGGGCATGGAAGGATTGAGTTGATCGCTTTCACAGCGTATGAGGCTTGCTTAGAATCATGAAGCAGGAGGAACAAATATAGGACTAAGCTGGTCGTAATCGAAAAATGTCCGTTGAGATCTGGAAGCCTCGAACTGGGCAAGCGACAGACCTTTGGATAGGTGACTCCTCGGAAGACAACGTTTCCCAGGAAGCCGAACCCACGACGACCAGCTCGACCAGCTGCTTGCCGATAGTCAAGGGCTGGCAGAAAAGCCGAATCACCCGAGAAGACAACTGTCTTACAAGGCATATTGATACCGAGGGCTAACGTTCCCATTGCGATAACCACGTGTAGATAGCCCTTGCTGAAAAGGATCTCACATACATGGCGATACTTGCGGTTCATACCCGCGTGGTGAACGCCGATTTCTCGTCTTAAAGCCTCGATAAGTCATCCTGGTATAAGTCGTTGCCTCAGTTCTGTTGCATACTCTTCAAATTCCGACGGGAAAAGTTTTTTCATATCCGCCACAGGTGAAAACCGGCAATTGGGGCTTCAGGGACAAGGGAGTTATATTTGCTTGGCTCTATAGAAGCTGATTCACGCATTTGCGCGTCCTTTCATGCCTTAGCAATTCTCTCAATTTCTTTTCTTTTTCTTGTTTTTCTTCAGAGAAACATGGTCTTATCCAATTCATTGCCCTAGAAACTCTCCACCTTCGTGTTTGGTGGTACGGCGAACTGTATGTCGTATAGGGAACAAAACGGGGCTGTGCAGGGATGCCCGGGCCTAAGATACGGCTGACCACTGTGCTGCGCCTTACAGGCTGTACATCGTTTCCTTGGGTCCTACTAGTACAATAGTCGGTACTACTTTAGTACCACTTTTTGCTCTGTGCAAATTAACTCTAACCCAGACGGAGTATCTATCATATCCCTTGCCTCCAATGGCGGTGCCGGGTTAACGTAGGGCAAAGTATGTAATTGTCGGGTCGGGGCACCACTGCCATAGGGAATGTCCCACTGGAATTGTGCCTTATGCTCCATCACGGTTGTTATGGGGATTGAACCAGCTTTGACATGTGGAAACATGCATTTTGAGTCTGTCTGTGACTCTGTGAGACAGAGAAAGCGGCCTTGGTTCTGCCTTAGGAACCCATTACGTTTTCTTAGTTATTCCCGAACTAGCGGGGAAGTCGCAGATTCAGCCTAGCCCTTGTCAGGCGATTCCATTCACTATTCCAGAACCGTGGAAACATCAATAATGGATTGGAGAGGAAACGGGTCTAAGAAACCAGGTCACTCGTGGAATGTAACAGGAATCTCCCATCTCTTACTACTAGTACTCAATGTTTGTTTTATAAATTAATACAGGTCCTTTCATTTGAGATACAGTTCCAACAACGACCATTACCACTACCTACCTCATTGACAAACGTCATTCATTGCATATACATGCACGGATCATACGAGTGTATTGACAACGACTTATTTTCACCATCTCCCAATTCTCAGCCGCAGCGACTCCGTACGTGATTATGGGCAACCATCATTCACGAGTCCGAAGCTATTCCGGGTCTCGCAATAGATCTAATACTGCATCAAAGTACGATCGATGTCGGCAGGTTGCAACCAATATGCAGGCAAAATGTGCACCTGTTCAAGCAAGAAATGCTGATCTCTGCCCCCCTCCTCCATACACCCCACGGCACCCTTCAAATGCTTCGGCATCCAGGGCTTCGTCATCTGGAGATTCGCCTTACTCGTTCCTGTGCGAATTTGATACTGTATTTCTGGTGGATGACAGTGGTAGCATGAGAGGGAGTCGCTGGAATGAGGCTGCGGATGCTATTGCTGCCATCGCGCCCGTTTGTACCGCACATGACCAGGACGGTATCGATATCTATTTCTTAAACTATCAACACGGAGGAACTGATCCCAGAACTGGCGCATATACTAACATCAAGACGTCTGATGATGTCCGCGAGATTTTTTACGGTGTCGAGCCGCAAGGAGCAACTCCAGCTGGGCGCCGTTTGCGCCAGATCCTGGACCCATACCTTCGTCGCGTGGAGGCCATAGCAGCCAAAGGAAAGGACCCTAGCGAGTCTGTGAAACCGCTCAATATCATCACCATCACAGACGGGGTGTTCACGGACGATGCGGAGAGTGTTATCATCAACGCCGCCAAAAGGTTGGATAAATGCAATGCTACACCATGGCAGATTGGCCTTCAGTTTTTCCAAATTGGGGATGACAAACACGCACAGGAATATCTGCAGATGCTGGACGATGACCTAGGTCACAAGTCAAAGAACGAGGGCATGCGAGATATTGTGGATACAGTGCCATGGAGAGGTGACAAGGGTCAAACGTTGAGCGCGGACGGAATTTTGAAATGCGTCCTCGGTGCTGTCAATCGCAAATATGACAAGTGTAACGCATTTCGCTAACCTGGCTTTTTTTTTTTTTTTTTTTTTTTTTGGTTGGTCTGTTTCGCTCAAAGGTCCCAAATTGCAGAGCCTTTCAGATATTGACGCCTGATTTAATCCAATCATGATCGGTGGCTTTTCAAACCCAACGGTCTGTTGCAAATAAAGGAAATGAGTTTCAAATGTCTTACAGCAAGCGCCGCGTAGCCGCCGAAACTCCCGGGCTAGGCATGGATTTATATGATTCGCTCACTAGCTTGGACGCAATAACCCTCCTCCCTCCTTTTGTTCTTTTTGGCGTTCCTTTCATACTTTTCTTACTTTCCATCTCTGTCCTGTTTGAAGGACGCTGAGACAGATTGCAACGAATTTCATTGCTGAAGAGTGAATGGCAATGGTTAATTGGCCAAGAATTAAGATTGAAGGTCCTGATACTATTAATAAAGGATGCTTATTGTCCTAAAGTCTCCCTGTATTTACTTTAGGATGATCGTCGGTTGCCCAGCATCCAAGGGCCGGCCGAGTAGCGCCCGGCTTCGATGAGATATAGTAGTGCTGTAATAAATTCCCGACGGTTTCATTGAACAAATGCCATTCCGATATGGCCAATGGTCTAGTTTTCCTGACTTGGTATCCAGACTAGCAAGTTTAGCCTGTTCTATCCTTAAGCTGAGGCCTGGTCCGTGAGGATGGATCTTCGGCCAAGTCCTAGTGCTATTGGGAATTCCCATTAGCTCAGGCGAGGAGCGAATCAATCTTGACAAATTGTTTAGATAGATTTCAGCAAGCTCTAACCTTGTCCGCTGACAGTACGTAATATTCGCATGGGAGGTTTGTTTACGTCTGGTGCTTCCCCAAACGAAGACGATGAGGATCAACCCTTTTTGTTTTCCTTATAGGGGAATGGGATCTGATCTGTCTTTCAAGTCCTACACCTGTTGTTGTCTCAACTCCTGGTAAGGCCAATACAGTAAAGAATACCATGAGTCGTGGCACCTGTTCCTCACGTGGTGGAGCAGGGCGATCGGCGAGAAAAAAAAAATTGTATCGGAGTAGTAATCAACCTGCTGCTAATTACCCTGAGGTTCGCCTGGTCAGAGGTAGAAAAGTAAACTGAATGATTCACCTTCAATTCGCCCGTAATATTTCTGACTGGACTGACACTGCAGGTCTGGTGCTACGTCGACTCGAGAATAAGGTCAGTCTGAAGGATTCTTCAACTATCTGTTTTAAGGTACGTAGTAAGAATAAGAGTGGAATAGTCCATCGTCAGCTGCCGTCTAAATTTCCTTACTATCCATGAATCACTCGCAGATACTTTTTTCTTCCCATGGTTCTCAGGTGGCTCAGAATCATGTATGGTATTGTCACCAGCCACGCAGACCCCCTTTTTATTTTTCCGGGTTTCCATTCAATCAGATTCGCTGGAGAGCGTCTCCATGGGAGCCAAAAGTGGTTCGCTTCTCTCACCATGATCCGCCACCGCATGGTTAGCTGCAAAGTTGTGATCCCTCTTTCCCCCCCCCCCCCCCCCCCCCATTTGGCTCCTCTACTACAAGGGCAACTAAGGCCCAGTAGTCTTTGGTTCGCCAGGTACAGGATACCCAATTCAGTCATTTTCAGCTCCGGTCCCCGCTCCGTGAGTGGTCGATTGGAACTCTCGGGAACCATGTTTAGATCTCATCGCGCGTCCTCGCTACTTTTTTATTTCCCCTAGCCTCAAAGGCTACCCTTTTCCCTTCGTGATTTGCAGGGGTTTGTGTGCGCATCGTGACGTGGTTATTGCAAAAGCCGGTGGATCTTCGTACGGTTCAAAGGATAAGCGCCGGTCAAGCTACTCCGTATCCGTTTGTTGATCGATTGATCCATATTACCTTTCTTCTCCCCCAATACCCACAGTCTGCGACTGATTTATATTCTTACGACCATTGTTCACAGTGCGAAAGTCCGGACTCTCCACTCTTTCTTCCAATGTTCTCTTTTGACTAACCAGTTTCTCTCCACCGAGTGAATCTCATATCCACACTCCTTTAAGTCTTGGTTAAAGCACAGTAGCTTCTGTGGCAAGCGCCAATATTCTTCTACCTTTTCTTCACGAATGTTCTCGACTCCTTCTATCCGCCTTGCCAGCGCTTAGAGCTCACAACCAACCAGTGTCATTGGCTCTAATCATTTCCTATTTCACGTCAGGGGCATCGAAATTTAACTACTCTCCCGGCGCGGTTACTGAATCAATTGATTCCCAGAGGCCAGACTGTTTGGTATCGATTTTTGTTGGGGGCTTGTGATGGCACTTTGTTTAGCCTTGAGCTTATAGTCGCGGACTTATCTATATCAATCCAACGTTCGCGAGTTTTACAGCGCACCCCAAACAACACCGGGTTACCCTCCTTTGTTCATAAATTTCTCTGTCCAGGCTGGCCTTGGGGAAATTGCCTTGTCTCTCTCTTTCTGTTTCAAAAGTACATTGTCCTACTTCAGTTTGCCTTGCTGCCATCCTTCGCCGCGCTAGATCTTATTATTTCTTGGTATTTTCTTAGTTATACCGCCATGGCTTCAACAACTTTAATGACATTTCTCCTGTGAGCCGCTTTCTACGTTCTGAATCCATCGCATACGCTAATAGCCGAATAGATATACTAATCCCCAGGTTAAGTCTGTCAAGCTGCTAGGCTCATGGGATAACTTCGCCAAGTCGTATCCTATGGAGCACGACAGGCGTATTGGTCCAGGCCATTGGAGGGGGTGCCATAGTTTTACTAGCATAATATGTGATGGAACGCCGAAGAATATTGGTTCATCTCGCTCCGGTGGGCTCAAAATGGGCGGCACATATTGGTATTATGTCAGTATTCTTACGTCGCTTCTGTTTGGCAGCTTTGTCTAACCTAAGATTAGTACTTACTGGACGATGATGTGGAATACTACAATCATGCGGAGCCAGTCACATCGCATTGTCCTCTTCTTCCCGGCCAGCCTGTCAACGTTCTTCATGTACCTGTCATTTTGCCGGATACACGTCCGATTTATCCCTGTGATAGAAGTCCAAGCCCGCAACAAACGGAAGAGCGGACTATGGACCCTAATGATAAATATATGAACCCGCGACAGGCCCCCAAACCAGCACTTCCACGCCTCCGCACATCTCCTCCACTGCTACAACAACCAACTCCGACTTGGTCTTTCAACACTTCCCCTTTAGGTTTATTAACCAACAGAGGCGCTTCCCAGCCTAATAGTGCGACGCCTAAGGCTACAATTCAGAATGATCAAAGAGCTCCAGGTAGTAAAGCTGCTCGATCAGTCTCTCCTCCAAGATCAAGGGGTCTTCGCGCTGCTTTCCGACAATGGAATGCATCTTCTCCTGATCTCAACGTGACAGATGATCAGAATAGCGATTCTACGAAGCCCCGACTGGCCTTCAGGCCTGTCATCGGGCGTACTGAAAGCCTCAAGACCCTCCAGAACACGTCGAAGGATTACCATGTGCATCAAACGGGTCATACGTCGAAGGGGAGCCTACTCCCCCTGCGGCCTGCATCATCTGGACATCCTGGAGCTACGGCGCTATCTATCCAGGATCGGCGTGCTCTAAATCCAAAAATCGCGGAACGTGCGACACCCAGAACTCCTTTGACTCTTCAAACGAACCACGAAACGATTACCACTAAAAATGGTGGTAATAAGGTCCATCCACATGCCCCCAAAGATTTTGTCGCTTCTGTGGACTCCGTCTTCTTGCTCGCGACTGCCTTGCCAGTGGCAGCTGAAGATGCTGTAACCCCTACACCATTCACTTTCGCAGAAAAGAGGCTCCCCACTCTACCGAATACTCCTTCATCAGTCATGGACGAAGCGCTGCGTGATCTCGAAACTCGAGAAAAGGAGCTCGATGCAGAAAATCTTGGCAGTCATTTCTCTGATTTCAGTACGACGGAGGAGTCCACAAGCAGCTCTCCGTGCGAGAGAAGTCATTTTTCCGAATGGAGTACGGATACAGAGGTGATCTCTCCTGAGTCCATGGCACCTTCGCTAACTCTCAACAATGGTACCCAAACTTTTTCTGCTCCGGAAGGGATGAGATTTGCAGAACTGTGGAAGCACTCTGTTCCTGCTGAAACAAGCGATCCGAACACCCCACAGCTTACTGTTCATTCAAGGTCTTCCCCCACTACAATCGGTGGCGACTCACCTCTCCTTGATCTGCCACCTCCTCGTCTTACGGTCTCTTTATCCCCCTCTGATATGGATTTCTCTGGCCTTTGTATCAGTGATGCTGGTGAGGTCGAAAGAGATCCCAAGCGCCATGCAGCTTTCTTTGGCGGGATAGAAGGACTTGGGCTTCTCCGAAGTCCTGAACCCTCTACTGTGCAGTTTGCGGGAAATGTCCGAGATGATGTGGAAACGACACATAACGAGAAGAGTGCAGGGCTCAGCAACGGCTATGATCGCTTCAGCATCAGCTCGCTACCAGGGCAGTCTGCAGCAATGCAAGAAATGATGGATGAGTTGAGTTACCTCAAATCGATGATTCAATCTTAGATGATGCGAATGTATAGTCTACAGTACGACTTTATATAGAGTGGAATTGATAAAACAAACATACCGGGCTTTCTGGTTTTTCGTTTCAAACTTCGTCCTTTGTTCTCCTGGTCGATAGCATGTAAGAACATAGATAGTGTAGAAGATACTGGAAGGGTTGCGAACATTTGTCTAGTTAGAATTGGGGTCTAATTTATGCGTTCCGTTGGGATATTTTCGCTTTGACTAGTAGTGAGAGATGTATTAAGGTCTTGGAAATATATGTACGACAGAGGTGTACAACAGGGTAGGAATGAAATATGTAACGGTGAGCTGTACACTACTAACACTTGAAACAGAACCAAATTCCAGCTCCTTATATTAAAAATGGTATTATACTACTTGCCTGTTCGCAGGGGTTAACTACCCTATGCCCTGAATTCCCAGGTAGGGTTTAAAGATTTTACTAAGGTGACTTGGGGAACGCGCGAGACACCAGACAGGTAAATACCACGTGCCAAGAGGTCCGCTATTCCGCGACTCCACCGTCCATTAACTATTTATCCATCTTGGGCAACGTCAGGCGCGGGACATACTAGAAGTAAGCGAACCCGTTAAATTTTAACCTGCAAAAGAATGGACTAAAGGGAGTATCGCGCGATTATGACCGAAGACAACTCTCATCTTTCATCGTTGCGGCATGAGCCGCAACTCACTCCTGTTGCGGAAAAGTCACTACCCGCAAAATGCAAGGCCACCACGCTGAAATATTGTCCTACGATGGACCTTATCTCCCTCGTTACAGAGGATGATGAATTACGAGTTTTCCGATTGAATGGTCAGAGGGTCTTTGGGGGTTCGTTCAAGGGAGATCCCTATTTGGATGAAGACGACGGCGGGGGTGAAATCCGACAATTGATGTGGAAAAACAATGGTGCGTCCTTGGCTCTCAGTCGCCATATACTGTTGTTTCTTGCAAATATAGTTATTTGTATCGCAGATAGTCTTACCAATTGCTAGGTCACCTACTTGCTGTCGCTTGCGCGGATAATACTATCCGTATCATTAGTGCTTACAGTGGTAAAACCGTCCATCATTATCCTGCTTATGAAGGGCAGAGTGATGCCGACCGACCTTTCAGGGCTACTTGTTTGGGCTGGGGTGTAAACTTCACCGATAGCGAGGCTGCACAACAGCAATTGAAAGAGGCTGCCGGGCAAATATCCGTCCAGGATCTGCTGTCGTCGGATGTACATCCATCAAAAGCAGCTGCCTTACTCAAAGCTGACCTACCAAGGGAGTTAGCTTTACTAGATATCGAGAGCTCATTACCTAAACTGAGCACACTACCTGCGACAGGAAGCGAGTAGGTCCCCCGACCACCCAAAAGGCGCAGCCACCTCCCACTAACTCTAAGACTCCAGTGACGACGTGTTTAGTTCTCGGGCGTCGATTGATGCTATCTTTCATTCTGCTGGCAGGAACACCAGTGACACGGTAGATGTCTTGTTGGTAGGCTTTGATGATGGCACCGTTCACTTGCGAATTTTTGATTGCTTCGAAATAGGCTCATTTCAAGTGGGCAGTTCCATTGGGCCTTCCAGTTCATGCAGGATCCTTCAGCACGCCTCTCATCCATTGAGCTCCACCCATGCATTGCTAGCATCCTCACATACAGACGATAGTTCAGACTCCTTGTACTTACTCACTCTCGACCTTCGGTTTATCACGCGATCCGGTAGATATCTTTCACTACTTGCACATAAGACAACCCAGCTTCAAAACCTGCTCAGATACATCAACCAGGTACAAAGGCAGGTTGAGCTCGAGTGGAAAAATGCACAAGAACTACCGGCAAGGTACATGCGCAGTATAAACGAAGATTTGCAGGAAAAATGCCATTGTGATTTCGTTACGGCTGCCTACCACCTAGTGGTCACTGGAGACTGTTTTGAACCAATGAAGGAGTTTTTGGTAGATATTGTCGGGGAAAGAGTAGGGCGTCTCCTTTTGAAAGCAGCATTTATCAAACGCTGATGAGATTTCTAGGGACACAAAAGGTGGGAGAAAGCTGTATCGAGCGGCTACGAAAATGTTCGACGTTTGACACACGAATGCCTTCTTCCGGCTCTGGAACGATGTGAAGTGTTACTTAGTCGCCTCACCGGGCTCTCCAAATTTCATAAAATATGTGGTGTCCTAGGTCTGGAGACAGCAGATCTGAATGCGATTGTCGAGACTCTGGATTGCCTTCATCTCTTATCTCACCAGATTCTCATCAATGCAAATGAGGAATTAAGCCAATTCAACTCATTTTCGCGATGGCTTCGCCACGAAATCGAAATGCAGAGCGCTGAACCCATGTCCCAGACGCTAGAAGAGCTACAGGAGAAAACGGACATGGTTGAATATCCGCTGACTCTGAAGTATATCAGAGGCGCATTAACCAAGAGCAAATTACGAAACTTCATCCAGCAACTGCCCCTGATCGGATTTGCGAGGCCCGCCCCCAATACCTCAGATAAGTGGGCACCAACCGAACACGATGGGTCATTCTATGACACGTTTAAGAAATTGCTGGAGCAGAGCAACCAAGCCTCCGATGCCGATGCTCCAGCTGAACTGCCGAAGATGAATGATCTCACAAAGCGCCTCGGACTACAGTTCGAAAAAGTCTTTGGCCGGATCGCCTTGACACAGCGTAGAGGTATCCTTCATAGGTCCCCACTTTCCCTTCACTCAGATTGTGACAAAGATATCGTTGATCTTGTCATGCGCTACGAGGTACCACGCCCTTGATAAATGTAGGCGAGAAACAGTGCTCACCATAACCCTAGGATGTTGGGGAACCAAGATCGTGTGTGATATATGTGGCAACTAGGTCCATCCGGTCGAAACATATACGTATGTATAGCCCCATTTGTGTATGTTCCTGCCTTTTAACCTCTTACCCGCGACTTCCAGTGTATATATACCGCACGGTTCTGGACTGCGAAAATGGGGTCAGCTCCACCCGGACGACAAGTATAGGAGCGATCGATTTACAGGAGGGGGAAATACGCCAAATACAGTTCGTGGAGGATGATACCATCATGGTGCTCTGGTCTAATAGCGGTATATTACACTTTGATATACACGTCGTGAAGGTTATGGGTGTTAACTATGACTTGCAGACGGATCCTCTTACCTTCTCAACTTCCCCTTTCAGCCGGCACCGACTAGCGAAAGCCCACACCTTGTCAGCTTCGAGGACTATGATAGCGATACGACATCATCTACGCCCGCTGCACGCACGGTGACGCTTGATGTCTTAGCCCCAGAATCCGAATCTACGCAGTGGATTAAACATGCCTTTACCATACCTGGGCCCAAACTCAAGCCCACGAGGATATATGTCAACGGCCGACACGACCGTCGAGCGATCTGTGTCTTGTATGGCGACGGCCTGCGTTATGAGGTTTTAGATTTAGACGCGGAGATGGAAGATGAAGAGGAGGAAGACGAAGAGCCAGAGGACAGCGAGTAGAGGCCGGGAGTAATAATAATGCTTGGTTGTCATCTGGTTGTTCCTGATGGAAGGCGGCCAAGGCTAACAAGGTGAGGTTGACTCTCTCACCAGCAAATTAGCGTGTTGATGAGCAACTCTAGGTTCCACCATCGGCAGGGACAAAGCTGCTCCAGGCAGGGATGTGCCTCTGTTTTGCGTTTGTTTATTGATATGTCGGTTGTGACTGGCCGTCGGGCTTTTGTTCAATGACTGCAATGAGTCCCTGACATCTAATGTTTGAATGAGCTCTTCACAGACCATTGTTCTTTAAACTATACTACTTAGGATAGCCCCGATAAATATAAATTTGTTTACTTATTTATAATTTGGTTCCTACGGTTCCAAATATTAATAGATTTGTGCGATGGGGTTGACACCCTGACTATCATTAAAAAAGGGCGTGGTCGCCGGGGCCACACAAGTGGGTAGGGTGGAAGTGCTTCAAGAAGCAAAATCAAAACAAGCAAAAAAAAAACCCATGGAGGGGGAAAATTTGGGGGAAGGAAAAGAAGGAACCAGAAGAAAAACAAGGGAGGGGCAATACCTCAGGCAACAATGGAACTGGTGACGAAAGTATGTGGCCGATCCTCTAAAGTAAAAAGGATATGCATTACCACCACACCACAACCCTCACCCACACTCCCTTACAGCTGCAAGAGGAGGGGAAACCTGTAAGAAAATAGACAATATGATAGATAGCATAGCATGATAAAAAGGTTAGTCGACAATTTTATTTCCTATTGATTTTCATTCGGGGATTGATGGTGCCCTTTCAGGCTGTCTAGTGGTCACGTGCCATGACTAAACCAGTGGCCACAGTCCAATCAGAAGGCGAATTTTGGGGGCTCCGCCGAGCGCTGACTGGTTGTTTTCTGCCCATCGTCGCTCTCATTCCTCATTGCGGATCAAAAGTTGAAGGGACACACTATTATTCTCCCTCGCTCTCGCTTTCTCTCTCCTCTTCTCTTTCTCTCTTTTGATTAAACATTTTCTATCAGAACTTAAAAAAAGGGTTTTGTGAACCAAATAACCATCTCTCTCTTCTCCTGTCTCTCTGAAACATAGACCTCGGAGTGCGGTTTTTTTAATTTTCCTATTCTCCTGGTTCTTCGGCGTGCACCACAAGCCGTCTTTTCCTCCCTCTTGTCCTACTTGCCGGAAGAACTGGTGCATGCCTCGTCATATATCCACAAAAACAGCAGGATTTCTTTCTGTCTCCTCGTCCACGCTGCCACTCCTTTGTCGTGGGCAATTTCATAATTAACTTGTTGCCTATTAAAATTTAGTCAAGCCAGAGGAGCTGTATTTGTTTTATTTCTTGCCTTTACTTTTTCTTTTCTTTCCCGTGGTCAGTGTCCCACTTCCGACAACATGAATGTCACTCAGGTATTGGAGGGCACTCTGTCGCCAGGTAAGATTATCCCTCTATCCTCTATATTGAATCGGTTTTTGGAGCGATCAAGAACGATGCTGACGGGTGATTTTTGCTTTGATTGATAGATGCGACAACACGTACAAATGCGGAACAGCAGCTTGTCCACGCTGCGGAGGTCGATTTCGTATGTTTCCCGGGTGCCCCATTAGGCGTCGCTTCGAGCGATCACTCGTCGACCGTCATAGTCATGCTAACCGTGGAATTTTCCCCATATAGGCCGGATACCTTGTTACCCTTGGCCAAGAACTGGCGAATGAAAACACCCCCTCCCACATCAGAACCGCGGCGGGTCTCGCACTGAAGAATGCTTTCACTTTCAGAGATCATGCTAAGCTACGTGAGGTGCAAGGAAAATGGCAGCAACAAATTAGCCCGGAGATTAAGACACAGGTCAAGGAGCTTGCGCTCAAGACTTTGGATTCTAAAGACGCCCGGGCCGGCCAGTCTGCAGCCCAGTTTATCGTCTCTATTGCCGCCATCGAGCTACCTCGGAGTGAATGGCCCGAGTTGATGAATGTTTTGGTTCAGAATATCGCCAACGGGTCCAACCAGTTGAAGCAAGCCTCCCTCATCACAATCGGTTTCATCTGTGAATCCCAGGATGCTGATCTTCGGGAGAGCTTGACTACTCACTCCAATGCAATCTTGACCGCTGTTGTGCAGGGCGCCCGACGTGAAGAAACCAACATGGATATCCGCTACGCTGCTATCAAGGCTCTCAGTGACTCAGTAGATTTTGTTCGGTCGAACATGGATAATGAAGGTGAACGTAATTATATCATGCAGGTGGTCTGTGAGGCTACGCAGGCCGACGATCTTCGTGTCCAGGCGGGCGCATTTGGTTGCTTGAACCGTATCATGGCTGCTTATTACGAGAAAATGCGCTTCTACATGGAGAAGGCTTTGTTTGGCCTCAGCATCATGGGTATGAAGAGCGAGGAGGAAGATGTCGCCAAGCTGGCTATTGAATTTTGGTGCTCCGTTTGCGAAGAGGAAATTGCTATTGAAGATGACAACGCTGCGGTTCGTCCAATTTTCTGCGCGCATTTCAAGGGGAAAATTACTAACGAATTGAAATAGGCGCAAGCGGAGGGTTCTCCTGAGGTCCGTCCTTTCTTTGGCTTCGCCCGCGTGGCGTGCAGAGAGGTTGTCCCTGTCTTGTTGCAGGCTATGTGCAGACAGGATGAGGATGCGACGGATGATGAGTACAATGTTTCTCGCGCGGCTTATCAGGCTCTGCAACTCTATGCTTCTTGTGTCCAGGGTGAGGTCATCCAGCCTGTCCTCTCCTTTGTCGAGGAGAACATTCGTAATGAAGATTGGCGTCGCAGAGACGCTGCAGTTGCGGCATTCGGTGCCATCATGGATGGACCGGATCCTAAGGTCCTTGAACCCCTGGTCAAGCAGGCCTTGGGTGTTCTTGTTGGCATGATGGAAGATAGTTCCATCCAAGTTCGTGATTCGGCAGCCTATGCCCTTGGTCGCGTGTGCGACTTCTGCTCTGAGACCCTGGACCCTGACGTGCATCTACAACCCCTTATTTCTTGCCTGTTCAACGGGCTTGCTAGCACCCCTAAGATTGCCAGCTCCTGCTGCTGGGCTCTGATGAACGTTGCCGAGCGATTTGCCGGTGACGTTGGTGCGCAGACGAACCCCCTATCAAAGCACTTTGAAGAGAGTGTTAAGTCGCTTCTTACTCTCACTGAGAGGTATGTCGGATATAGTTCAAAGGGTGGTCTTCCTGGACCTGGCTTACTTATACCTTAATAGGCAAGATGCAGACAACCAGCTCCGGACTGCTGGATATGAAGTTCTGAACTCCTTCGTGACCAATGCGGCGAACGATAGTCTCCCTATGGTTGCGAGCCTCTCCGACGTTGTGATTCAGCGTCTGGAGCACACCATCCCCATGCAACAGCAAGTTGTCAGTGTGGAAGATCGGATCACTCTGGAAGAGGTGCAAACTAGCTTAATAAGCGTTATATTGGTGAGTTTTTTAAGCGCAGGGGTGCATTTGTGTCTAATTTGACTGACAATTTAGGCTATTGTTCAACGTCTCGAGACTGAGATTAAGCCTCAGGCAGACCGTATCATGCATGCGATGATCCAGGTCCTAACAACTGTTCCCCCCAAGTCCAGTGTGCCTGATGTCGTCTTCGCCACAGTCGGCGCTATTGCAAGTGCACTGGAGGAGGACTTCGTCAAGTATATGGAACCCTTCTCGCCATTCCTTTATAACGCTCTCGGCAACCAAGAAGAACCTGGCCTCTGTGCTATGGCCATTGGACTGGTCAGCGATATCTCCCGTGCCTTGAATGAAAAGGTCCAGCCATACTGCGACTCGTTCATGAACTACTTGCTCAATAACTTGAGGGTAAGATAATTATATCCATGATAGTAAATTAAGATCTGTCCCTCGCTAAGTCCTTTTTGCAGAGCTCGACGAATCAATTGAAGCCTGCAATCCTCGAGACGTTTGGAGACATTGCTCAAGCTATCGGAACACAGTTCGACACATACCTGTCCGTCGTCGCCCAGGTTCTCCAGCAGGCATCGATTGTAACCGCCAGCTCGGACGTTAATATTGAGATGCTCGATTACATCGTCTCCCTTCGCGAAGGAATTATGGATGCCTGGGGTGGTATTGTTTTGTCTTATAAGGGCAAGCCTCAAGGTAAACAAGTGTGTAACACAGTCTTTGCGACGTGTGCTAAGCCATCTGCAGTGACTCAGCTCCAGCCCTATGTTGAATCTATCTTCCAGCTCCTCCACCTGATTTCTCAGGATCTCAACCGGAGTGAGGGGCTGATGAGGGCCTCAATGGGTGTTCTTGGGTACGTTTGTCATATTGAGCCTTCTCATACGTACTTTTGTGTCTAACGATTAAACAGCGACATCGCGGAGTCGTTCCCGAATGGAGAGTTTGCGGCCTTCTTCCGTAACGACTGGGTCACGGACTTGGTCAGAGACACTAGAAACAACCGAGACTTTGGCACGACCACAGTTGAGACTGCTCGCTGGGCTCGTGAACAGGTCAAACGTCAGGTCACCTTGTCTACTGCCGCAGCTATGGCGTAAGCATGGACCCTAGCACTCGAAAGCCATCAATTGCTCTCGTCGAGACCACCCTCCTCGGAGCAAGCCGCTCCTTTAGGCGCACTCAGAGAAGCTACGCCATGGACCACTTGCTCCCATTCCATAAAGTGAATTTCCTTTCACGAGGAATGCTGAAACGCCGTGCCGTTGATCGAACTTTAACTTGCCAGACGAAATATCCCTGTATCATATGGTACGGTTGAACGAGCTGATACCGCTTTGATCTAAGCACTACCACCCTCTCCGTTCTTCAAACTTCCCTATCCCATCACCCTTTCCCATGTTCCCCAGTCCTTCAGCTCCCTGTTGGGCACTCCCTGTTTCCCACTTTTCGGAACCATTAGCCCCCCCCCCCCCCCCTCATGACGCCTGAATGCATCCTGTTTCATCGCTACTGGCATCTTGTTTGTTTATCACCTTCATCCTACTATTACTATCGATTTACCCCCTTCCCTTCTCCGTTCCAAGTCGCCTTAATTAGACAAAGACCCCTATAGCATTATCTTCAACCTCATGTATGCCCAAGAAGTCATGTAACCCCTTAAGAGAAACACTGCAACGAATATTTCACACTTCCCGTATATTCCGATTCTACCCACCAAAAGATCCTGTATAGAGCCAATGATACAACCTGAATAAGCGTGTGTGAGATGCTTAGTAGCAGAATCTGACCTGCCTGTGGACAGTGGGGTGTGGTATAGACCGAGGGACCCCGATTGTCAGGTAACGTATACAATGTAACCCGTGGCGCAAATTTGCGTTTGGATGTCATGATACTCTCCAGAGAGGGAAGTAGAGACTGGTCCTCAGCCTACATCCCGTCAAACTATTAAGGCCACTCGGTGATGGGGCCGCGGTGGGGGATGTATCGGGTTTGCGCCACACACTGAGGCATATAACTAACCCAAGGACCTTTCCCTGAAAACAGTGACCCATTAATACCATGGGGTAGAATTTGTTATGGTAAGCGGTTATATGCACGAGCCGATACAGACAGTATTCTATACTGGGGTATGGTTACGTGGCTCTTATCCTATATCGAAGTTATGGTGCTCGTAGTGTAGGAGCTATGTAGTGATCACTCGCGTTGGCATAGTACCGCAGGATGATAATTGAATGTATTTTATACCCCATAATACTGCCTGAGGCATTCTGTCGTAGTTTCCACGTGACTCAATAAGGGCAAGACACACATAACCCTACCCGCGCACATCCCGAAAACCTCGCGGTTCAGCTCCTGATAGACATTTTTTTTTACCACATCCCCGTTCTCACCAGCCTCATCGGTACTACCCTCGAGGTATGTATTACTCGTTATTGAACCCCTTCTCGCGGCCTCTCAGCTAGTCTGAGAGAGCAATCATCATGGAACTCTGGCCTTTTCGATCCTTGTGGAGTAGCAACCGCAGGAAAGTTGAAAAGCTTTTACCAGAGGGTCCAGGTGATACGCTTCTCTCATTTCACGGCACGGGCTGAAGAACCCTTGATGAAAAATTCTTAAAGGGGCACTCTTTACGCTCGAAGACTACTGGTGGCTGACATGATTCTCCTTTTGAAAATTAGATACCTCTTATCCCGTCTCTCGATTTGAGAATCTCGAAAATCAACCGCCAAAATGGTCAAGACTTCCGTCCTCAACGATACGCTTAACGCGATCAACAACGCCGAGAAGGCTGGCAAGCGCCAGGTCCTCGTCCGTCCTTCCTCCAAGGTCATCGTCAAGTTCCTGAGTGTCATGCAGAAGCACGGTATGCATATATATTTTCCGTTCGATCATCGCCTTCTGCTCAATTGTTCTTTGCCTCTTGCTATCTTGATCATGTGTATACTGGAAAATGTGTTCGTTTGTTCTTCGGGTTGATAACTAGGCGGCGATCTCGATCTTTAAACGACGTCCGCCCTTTAAGTACCCGATATATTGAAAATTGTTTTTTAACAAGGCGGAGATCTTACAAGTTTCCTGATTTCTTTTTCCTGTGTTTGGTGAACTTTTAAATCTTCGTAACATTGCTGACTCTTATCTTCTTTAGGCTACATTGGCGAGTTCGAGGAGGTCGATGACCACCGTTCCGGCAAGATTGTCATCCAGCTCAACGGTCGTCTTAACAAGTGCGGTGTCATCAACCCCCGCTACCCCGTCCAGCTCCGTGACCTCGAGAAGTGGACCACCCAGCTCCTTCCTTCTCGTCAGTTCGGTTTCGTCGTCCTGACCACCTCCGCCGGTATCATGGACCACGAGGAGGCTCGTCGCAAGCACGTTGCTGGCAAGCTCCTCGGATTCTTCTACTAGACGACCAACGAAAAGTTTATGTCTTGAATACTATCGGGATATATGTGGCCTGGTGAGGTCCGAGCGAGGAATGTGCTCAGGAGCAACAGTGTCTTGGCGAGGAGTTAAAGGATACCCTGGCAGAAACGCCATAGATAGGTTTGAGTGATCTTGCTCAATTCAACCAAGTCATTTTGTTCCGGTCAAATTATTTTCCATGTTTCGTGTCGTATTGTAGAGAAGTAAAATCTGAACAACCAATTCGTCTCCCTTGCGCTTGAGAAATCTGGCCTTAGTTGGGATACGCACGATTACCAATTTTCCCAGGACCTTGGCACTGTTACGTGCTTATCCTTGTTGAAACTTTGGAAGGATATAATCCGTTTCTTTGTTGGTTTTTCTTATGCCGCTATTCCTTTTATGGGATGAGACTAATCAATAGGTTTCGGAAGCCCGGCGCATTTCTTATGAAAGCGGAAGGCCGCAGTCCCCGAGCCCGAGCAGTACCAGTTATGCTGATCGGGCGTTCCAAGCATCTTCAAGATTCCTACATTCCGAAGCATCCGTTAGTGCGCTACTATGGCATTTATGCTCAAATCATTCTGCTTTTCCCATGGCCGTGCGTGAGAGAAGGAGGCGCAGGTTCTGCGCTAAAAGCGATCTAATGCTTACAATTCGCAAATGGGTTTCCTCAATAATGAAGATAGTTCGCGCATAAGCTCGGAAGTAATCGAACCTCGTTTCAAGTGGATCAACGTGTCCATAATCCCACTCTGGGTTTTATCTCATGGTTGCCCCTGTCAGCCCTGTGAGGAGAAGAATTAAAGGAAGGACGGACGGAGGAACAAATAAGAAAAAAGACGTGACGAAAAGTTGTCGCCTGGGACATTACTCCCTTTCTTTACGGCCTACAATGGGTTGAGTGTCATTGACATCTATCGGAGTCCTCTCATTTGACTCTCGTATCACCTTTACTATGTATTTCTCACCCCTCGAGGCGCTTGCTTGCTTGGCTTCTTTTGCTGTTGTGTCCGCCTCTATGTCGAAAAGCATAGAGCAGCCTCGCCATAATGCATCATTAGATGCATGGTCTAACCTTCCATTGAACGCGTCGATCCCAGTTGAGCGTGTACAACTAGAGTTCTCGCAGAATGAAGTATATCGCATGCACGAAAGTCTTAAACATGCCCGAACTAGCAATCCTGAGGGTTACGATAACGAGCAGCAGCATTGGATCGCGCTTGCGTCTGAAGGCTGGACCGAGATTAATGGACCATTTCTAGAAGATGAAGTCAACCGTCATCCTCAGTTTAATACGTCCGTGACTGTTGACGGTCGTGATTCTAATGTCCATTTCATGGCGTTGTTTTCGCAACAACCGGATGCCATCCCCATCGTCTTCTTACACGGGTGGCCTGGAAGTTTCCTTGATTTTACAGGCCTTCTCGATATCGTGCGCCTGAAGTATTCTTCTAAGGATTGCCCGTTTCATCTCATTGTACCATCTTTGCCTGGATATACCTACTCTGCCGGCTCCCCCGTGACTAGACACGCAGATATGTTCGCCGTAGCTCGGACCATTGACGCATTGCTCACCGGCATTGGCCTGGATAATGGTTACATTGCCCAAGGTGGCGGTATGGGGGCCTATGTTGCTAGGCTACTTGGGTCATATAGTCCCAGTTGCGAAGGTACGCCACTTTCATTGAATCTGCGCTGGCGATTGGAAAGATTACTGACTGTAGCCAAGCTGTACATGGTAATTTTCACTCGTCCCACTTGACGAAAATTTTGTTCTTCGGCAGCAAAAAAGTAACAACTGTTTAGTCAACTCTCTCCCTCCTATCCCCGGGTTACCCGACCCAGGCAACGATACGGACCTTAGTGAGCAAGATATTGAGATTCTTAACCGAACTTCACATTTCAAGTCTCTCCAAAAGATGGATATTACAGGCCACGGAAGCCAGGTCACTTTAGGAGTTGTTCCGAAGAAAGATCCATTGTCATTGTTGGCCTGGTGAGAGATGACTAGTGGTCCAAAGTTTGCAACACCGAATTACTGATGAGGTGTCAGGCTTAGTGACAAGTTCAACAATTGGGTAGATCCACAACACACTTTACCCATGCAAACAACCTTGGTACACGCTTCGGTCTACTACCTAACGGGAATGACGACAAGTGATTATTACCAACTATCCAGTCTGGATGCCCCTGATAACATGATCCCTCTTGTTCCGAAGCCATTTGGCTACAGCCGTTTCCCCTATGATATTAGTGGCCTCCCTAGGAAGTGGGCAGCGACGCTGGGTGATTTAGTATGGTACAATGCTCACGTTCAAGGTGGTCATTTCGCTGCCATGGAAGAAGCAGAGGATCTATGGAATGATGTAGAACATTTCGTTCGGACAGTCTTCCCAGATGACCTTCCCTGAAACCAAGTGCAAACCCTCTTCCACGACGAATCATAGACCTGTGCTTCATGACTGCATCGCCAATGATTTTCAGAATGCAAACGCGGGGTCCTTGTGGGGACTGTCGGGCATAGTCCTAGTCCTAGAAACCGGGGATTCGGCAATGTTGTTATCGATGAGTACCGGCGTCTCGGACTTACGGTCGGAATTAATTTTGACCCTATTCGATTTAAATGATGTGGGAATCAACTAAAAGGTGGACTGACGATCGAATTAATAATCTCGTGGAAATTTACAACTTGCGACAAATCATCTTTATCACGACTTTAACTTCCGCCCCACTCTTCGCCTTTTGCCCCTCTTCTCCCGACCTACACAGCGGTATCGTCTCAGTTCCGTACTGTGTATATACGAATCGTGCATAATGAGTGACGCATTGCATACAGGTAACGTTGAGGTTTCCTTCAACTCCGAATCTAAAGCCCTATGAGCGCAATGCTGATATCAAGTCCAGGGGTTTACTTCACCCCGACGCGCCACACCGACACCTACCCAGCTATTGATCCGCGTAAATGTGACCTAAGCGGAAAGTACATCTTCATAACAGGCGCATCCAAAGGCATTGGGCGGGCCACTGCGTTATCATATGCAAAAGCCGGCTGTGCTGGGATCGGCGTCGGCGCTCGTACAGATCTCTCGTCGCTCGTACCACTTCTTACTCAGGCCGCAGAGGAGGCAGGCAAGCCAGCTCCCCAAGTAGTACCTGTTACACTAGATGTGACAGATGCAGAGAGTGCATCATCAGCGGCCACCTCGATTGCCTCATCGTTCCCCCGTCTGGACATTCTTATTAATAACGCCGGGTACCTTGAGAAACGCGTCAAAATCGCGGAAAGCGACCCATCCGAATGGCAGAAGACATGGTCCGTCAATGTCATGGGGCCATACTTAGTTACTCGGGCGTTTCTTCCGCAGATGCTGAGCAAAGGCGGAGACAGGATCGTTGTAAACTTGGGCAGCATTGCGGCGCATTTGACATCGCCTGGAGCTTCAGCTTACCAAACCAGCAAACTCGCTGTTCTTCGCTTTACGGAATTCTTGGATGCGGATCATGGACCGGACGATGTTCTGACTTTTGCTGTGCACCCTGGCGGGGTGCCAACGGATATGGGAAAGAGGCTTCCTGAACAGATGCACAAGGCTTTGACAGAAACGCCAGAGCTGTGTGCAGATACGTTGGTATTCCTTACTGAGAAAAGACGGAAGTGGTTAGCTGCTAGGTATGTCTCAGTGACTTGGGACATGGAGGAGCTATTGCAGAAGGAAGAGGAGATTGTGAGGGAGGACAAATTGAAGGTTAGGATGCGTATCTGAATTGTTATCGAGGGGTCATTTGCCCATAAATATAGATATAAACGATGTAGTATAGAAATAGCGCTTGTACCTCAGAATAGCGGCAACAAATACGGCCTTAAAAAGACCATTCTTATTTGACAAAAAAAAAAAAAAAAAAAAAAAAAAAAAAAAAAAAAAAAAAAAAAAAAAAAAAAAAAAAAAAAAAAAAAACTCAAATACATATTCGCTATACCATGTGACTAGGTCTTGCACAGTATCACTATAAACATTCGAAGCACTTCTAAAGCTGTAAAGTTTACAGTTCTATTGACGGTACATATCTAATCGCAAAGCTTGGGTGTCTTGTTACCAATAGTCACAGATCCTTTACAGAGGTTATATAAAAACCTTATTCTCCAAATCCGTCAAATCCAGCATTGAAACATCCACATCGACTATTCTTCCTTCCTCCTCACCCCGAACCTCCACGAAGGCAGCCCCCAAGTTCCCAGCAGCTATCTGCATAATCCACGTCCCATAATACCGCGGTCCGCCGTGTTTCCACATCTGCGGGGAAATAATGTTCGACACACCATACGCAGCCATGAACATCGCGCTCCGGGTAAGCTTCTTCGTATACCCAGCGCAGCTAGACGCAGCCTAGCCTAGTGAGATGATATACGTCGTCCCCTGGGTGCTATAGGCTAGGAGCAGACACGCGAGCAATGGGACGGTCCTGTCCTATGGCAGTAGCTTCAAGAGGAGTGAAGCGACGATGGCGACCACCATGGCAAAGCCGCCCTCAGCAACCCAGACCAGCGTTGATCCGAGATCGAAAACTTCGATCTGAAGGTATAACAGGCTTTGCTTGAATGCGAGATTGTTGCTCAGCATGAGAGTGAACGAGCTTAAGGCGAATAGCCAGGAGACGGGATCGAGGAGAGCCTCGCGCGCCTGGTATCGTTTGAATACCTTTTGTTCGATGGTGCTTTGGGTTGCGTCGTGGACTCGGCGGATTCCGTGGTCTTTCTCCTAGGTTGAGAGATATCGGGCTGTTATTGGGTTACTGGGGCAGAAGAACCAGGATTAAAGAGATACAAGGAGTGAGAGCCCTCCTGTTGTTGTTATGAAGTATTTTCATGGTTCGGATGGGGCTCTTGCTGAAGAGGAGAGCGTACTAGGAGTCCTGTGGGAACGGGGGATCCTACGCAGGATATTCAAAGTATCGGTTGAAGGGCGTGTAGTTCTTCAGGGGTCAAGAACATCATTTGTCTAGCGAGCAATGATGATCGTTTGTTTTTATTCTCTTACAACTTGATTTAATTGGGTATTTTATTACTTGTATAGAAGTAATGGTGGAATGACTCTACACAGCGTCTATACTAAAGGCTCGGGTTGTTAGGGCACAAATTCCTTATCGATAGGAGATTCGATAGGCTACTGGCCAACGACAACGAAACGATAGGGGACTGATAAGGCTCGAGTTCTCTTAGTTCTTAGCGACAATTAGTCCCGGTCGATAATTGGTGGATATTTAGTGCCTACTAACTTACTGCTTATTCTAAGGGTTTGAATATGTCAATAGTAGCACTACGTACGCCTTTTCGCCATGGTTTCGCCTCGCTACAAGCGTGTCGCTGTAGTGGGCACCGGTCCCGCCGGTCCCGCAGCTATACGAGAACTCGTCCAAGAGCAATGCTTCGATTATATCCGCGTATTTGAGCGCAGGGACTGCGTTGGAGGAATACGGTATGATTTCTATTGGACTCTTTCAGTAATATCTCATAGTGCAGGGTACTGTGAAATCTAAATCCAAGACTGATGCGTAACAATTCTACAGGGCATACGAACGCCAACCATCGCCAGAAAGTTGTGGACAAATAAAACGAGTCTAGAATGTGTGATATGGGCGGCAAGAAAGTAATCCTAACACGTGCCTGATCTTAGGAGATTGGGGAGAGTCAGAAATCCGTATACAAGACAAGATCATTCAGGATGTACAGGATACCTCACATCTTGTGACATATTGGCCACTTTTCTACTTCCTAGACCTGGAGACAATGGCCATCATAGGGTTCTGGTGTTTCCATCCATGGGTCCATGGCTACTCGCATGTCCGCTGCTCGGCAATTACTAGAGGCTTTAGAGAATCTACACAAAGCCGGAATTGTACATTGCGGTAAGTGAAATATAATCCTTAACTTTTCTTCCTATTTATATCAACTGATATTTGATAGACTTGAATGAGAAGGACTGTATGTGGGGGATCACTCCTCTTCACGGTCTTAATAGGAGTGCTAAATACGAAGTACTCGGTCGGCCACTGAAGGAAATTATACCAGTTGACAATCTCTGGAAACAGGGGGAGCTGGCTGGGCCTCTTAAGGTCCCTGAGAGCTTACGTACAGAGATATTCTATCTTGGAGACTTTGTTTTGGCATTGAAAGTTGATAATTCTGTAATTCAAAAAGGTTATCCGCCTATGGAATCTTGCTCCCCAGATCGTCTTCATAGAAAACACCTAAGTTTTGCCCGCTACATGTGGAGTTATATGGTTATTTTTGGAGTGCTTTACCTCAACGGCTATTCGGCTTTTTCTACCGTGGCCTATGGCTGAGTGATAAGTGATATCGTCAGGTCTCTGGGTCCACTACCTGAGCAGTGGAGGGGTTTCTGCGTTTATCCAGGAAGCGGCCTTGATTCCTGGCATGATCAGGGCAAAACACCCGAACCAAATCGTAATCTTGCGTCAACAATTGTATACTCTCGTCCGGACGCAGATCCAATTGAGTAAGAGCTTGTTCATTCCATAATGTTGAATATATTTATTGATTCTCTGACTTCTGCATTGTATTGTTGTTTCTTTTCATTAACTCTTTCCTCCCCCCCTGGAGAGATTGTTGCTGTCGTGTCATGAATGTGAGCGCAAGTTTTCTGTAATCGTTAGCTTCCTATGTTGTTGTGATAGATCTCATTAGATCCTGGTCTTCATTGGGTCACGGGTGTTTGTATTTATTCCCAATCAGTTCTAGCGTCATTTATTTGATAAATCTAACCGAGGTCCATTTCCTCTCCGCATTCTGCCTCTTATCTCTTCTCCGCAACATTCATCTTCTTGTACATTTCTAAAATATATTACTTCCATTCAAGAGGTTTTCTTAAAGATATTGCACCTGCAGCGTTGATCAGACCCCATTTCACAATGCCTCTAGACACCATATATCTAACTCGACATGGCGTGGGTATACCTCCATCTCGGCTCCACCCCCACCAAACAACACAAGGAACTAAGAAGGGACAAACAGCATCGTCTAAATTGGACAATCGACTATAAAACAGGCGAATACAAGTCTCAATTCCCAACACCAACCGGCAATCCCGTAGATCCAACCCTAACCTCGCACGGTGTGCGCCAATCGCTCGAGCTCGCAGAGCATCTAGTGAGCCCTGAATTTTCCCCGAAACCGTTTCGGATATACTCGAGTCCCTTCTATCGGTGTTTGCAGACGATTCAGCCATCAGTGGAAGCTCTGAGGGAGAGGCATAACTCAGCGCCCTCTATAGAAACAGGTATAGACCGAAATGCGGACCTGGATGTGAGGATCGAAAATGGAGTCGCGTAAATGATGTCACTGCTGCAGCCTCGTTGCTGATAAAACTAATACATGTTGATAGAGAGTGGTTCGGTCCAACTTCTTTCTTTGATCACCCTTCTCCTGCATCACCGGGTACCCTCAAGTCCCATTTTCCCACACTTCTCGCCGCGGACCCTGAAGCCAATTACAACCCTCATCTAATGCCCTCTACCCGTGGTGAAACAATTGCCCAACTTCACGACCGAGTAGCTACGGCCTTAGCAGGCATTATTGCGGATGTTGATGCTGAAATCAATGCCTTGGAAGCATCCCAGCCGCCGTCGGAACGCACCAGTAAGGCGATACTGATCTGTGCACATGCGGCTCCACTGATTGCTATGGGACGAGTTTTGACCGGAAACATGCCGGAGGATGCTGATGAAAAGGATTTTAATGTTTTTACGGCGGGTCTAAGTACATTTGTCCGAAGGGGAACAACACCCGCTAGCGATGGTGGCGCAGACCAGCGGGAGTTGGCGCCAGGAACAAGAGTTATTCGACCTGGGACGGTTGTACCCGATTGGCAAGGCGGGAAGGGAGTCAGTGGGGGTTGGGACTGTGTTGTGAATGGGGACTGTAGCTTTTTGAGCGGAGGCGCTGAGAGGGGGTGGTAAGTTGATCAGTTGTCCTGTTCCCTCCGGGGCTTTGACTGGTAAACTGATACCATTTTCCATTACAGGCACTTTAACGGGGAAGAGTCATTTGATACCGGCCCCATGGCTCCGTCTTCAGCTTTGCCTACGTCAAGTCAAGATACGTCGACGGAGAGGCCAGGCACGAAGCTGTGATCCTGACCTTAGATGATGATGATTAGTGACATTTCTGCACATGCTGTAGGCCCGTTTAGAGGAGGCTAGTAAATAACCCCAATAGACTATATACCAGACAATAGATTCTCGAGCGTGTCTAATTGCAAGGTTTCAGATCACCATGTTTTAAATCCGTCTGTAAGGATCTACGCTAATTTCAACGCTACTTTAACGCCAGCTATGTACAACACTAACGCAACAGATAATGAGAATAGATGCATGAAACGACGGGAGTGATTACCTTGCATCGTGTTCATCTTCTCGCGGTATTGAGGTACGAAGTCCGTCTTCAGTGGCGGGATTAGCTACAGACGACGCTGGGCGGGAAGTTGGACTTTCTTCGTGATCTTGCTGCTCCTGCTCAGTCACCCCTTCGCCGTTGCTAGTTTCCTCCTGTCTACGCCGCTCCTCCTCTTCTTCTCGTGCGCGCTCTGCATTTCGAGCGGCCTCCGCTGCATTGCGTACCTCGACATGTCTCTCCCCAACTCCCGGCACCAGGCTGGCGACAAATAGTGCCAAAGATCGCTCTACTCTTCGAAGAATATGGCGCATTCCCGTTGGGGCGACAGGTCGGTTACCCGTGGCATCTGTGCCCTGGGGCCGCGGTGGCACGTGTTCATCAGTAGAGAAGTGTATCAGTCCCTCAAGGTGTCGTTGGATTGGTGAAATAATCATCCCGTATAATTGGCGCGGGACACTGGTTTCTGACAGGAGAGATACCATGACAGCCAAGGTCACCAAGAGGACTCGCGACCAAGTGCCGGGCTCGCTAAACATATAGCAAAAGAAGTACAGCCGAACAAACAGCCAAATCCGTCGTATGCTCCGGGCGAACCCTACAGGCTCGTTATTCGCCAATCTTTGATTAAGGACGGCTTGCCGAACGGCATTCTCCATGACAGCAGCGTTCGGATCGGGATGCGCCTGGGGCGGGTGGCCAGTGGCCTGGGCAGATATTGCCTGTGACGTTTGCGCCGCACGAAATGCGCTCAGTGACGATTCGATTGTCCTCACTGCGCCGGGAGCGGTAACTAGAGCCTGGTATCCATTTGGCGACGAAAGAAGATATAGGGGGGCCTGTTCATGATCATTGTTCGCAGGACTATCGGACATATTGTGCTGCATAGGTGCAGTGGCCCTAGACTGACTTACGCGGAGCTGATCTGCGCGAGTGTAGATGTTGAAAACCCGAGTGAGCAAGGCTTCTATAGAGCCGTCGCGTTCAGACAAGGGGTTTCTATACTGATCATCAAGGATATCAAACAATTGTGACCGAATGCGAATCACCTGGTCCATAGGAGGCGCGATGCCTCGATTGAGTTGGTCTTCGCATAACGCAATTTGCGGCCGTAGTATGTGCAGACGTAGTCTAGTATCTTGAGCTAAACTAGCACTGAGGTCTGATGGATGGGACGACATTGTTGACGTTGACGTTGATGTGGTCGTTGAAGATTGGAATGGCGTCATACTCTGCCAGGGAAATTGTTGCGTTTGTTCAGTTCCCTGCTGATCTGGTAGGGTCGAGCCCCCTTGCTCCCGCAGTTCGATTTTGCGGCGGATGGTTTCGATATTACGTCGCAGGGCTAGCCCAATATCTGCTTCACTAGGACCCATTGATCCTCGGTACCTAACTTCTTGCCCATGTTGCATTGGGTATGGCGGGGCAGATCGGCTGGGTGCAAAAAGCTGGTCTGGTGAAGGCATGTCGGCGGGTCCTTGGAACTGTGGCGATGGCGAGGGTCTGGGGGAAGTCGCCACATGAGCTGGTAGAGGACCTGGCGGAAGAACAAGATGCATGGAGTATTCGGCGCCCTAATAGACATATCTAGTTAAGCAACTACGCGTGGGCACGCCAACCAAAACAAAGTGTCTTGGTAACACTCACGTTTACAGGTTCTAACACCTTTTGTAAAGTCCAGTCATCATTTGAGATGGGCTTTCCACGATATATTAATCTTTGAGTCTCCGGTGGTGGCCTATTGGGAATCGATTGGGATATTCGCGCCTTGAGGCCAGCGATACGAATGGAAGGTGCCAGATCATTGAATGTAAAGCGATTGGGAGGAGGAAGCGATGGGCACAGCACATGTAGAATAAACGCTTGCGTCCCACTGGTCGCGTTTGAATTTGACAATGAGTTGTCTGATGGGGCGCAACTGGATGTCATCTTTGTATAGTTCTTATGCCCAATGTAGATGTAATCATAACATGAAGTAATTGCTCACGCGCTTACAAGCGCAAGGTCAGTCTCGAGAATATCCCCAAAGATATAAATTGGTATTAGACAAATCTAGGCGATGGGGTATTATTCAAGAGGATGTTATGCGAAGAGGTGAATTGACAACGGGCTAGTGGACTGTCACGGCGACTTGGTATACTCCCCTGATAAGGTGCATATAAAGGTGGCCCAAGTCACAATGGTGGCCTTTTCCGTGGGCGGGCAGGGGTCAGCACGTAATTATAGGACCTCCACCATGAACGATCGACACATATAGGTTATCCTGGTAATGGCAATCACACCGAAGTCAAACATACAGGAGAGCAGATTCAGAACATGTTTCTGCGCTGCAGAAGTGAAGAAGAAAGCCCCAAGAACGCCATGCCGTTGAAGCCGTTTCTGACGGCTCATTCTGCCGGGCGGTGAAGGTGATCTGCAGCATGATGCAAAAGCACGAGATTTGAGGGGGAAAGACCTCGGTCTCCTTCTGTTGCTCACTGACGTCTAGGAACCTCAGTGTTTCGTGCCGACGGTTACTACTCCCCACCAGGGGCGTTAATTATGGAGTAAGCAGCATTATGACATTGTATCTTACCAGCCGTTCTGTGCTTCGCCGGAACTTTGGAGACTCCCGTCTCGGGGAGAATGCTGGATTGATGAAGATGGTGGCCTTGAGGACGTCTGCTGGACGTAAAGCCACTGCTAGGCAATTCTCGAAATCATGGAAACAATATCAAAACCAAAACAACCAAGAGAACCCAGCGCCGAAGGGCTTCGGATCCCGACTACGATTTGCGCTCCGAAACACTAAGGTGGAATGGTATCCGATTCCGATAGGACTCGGCATTGGTCTCCTGGGTATACTCCATTTTTACAAGTCGCAAAGGGCGGAACGGGAACGCCGAGAAAGAGAAGCTGAAGATGAGATCACAAACCCACCTCCACGACATAGAATCAGGCCAAGCGGGCCATGGCAGGTTCAGATTATGTCGACCCTGCCACTGAAAGCAATATCCCGGCTATGGGGCCGCTTTAATGAGCTTGAGCTTCCAGTTTTCCTTCGCGCTCCTGGATTCAAGCTCTATTCATGGGTTTTTGGCGTCAACTTGGATGAAGTAGAACAACCGGATCTGCGCACCTACCCGAACCTGGCGGCCTTCTTCTATCGCAGATTGAAGCCCGGTGCCCGGCCCTTAGACCCCGATACCCGCGCAGTTATCTCGCCATCGGATGGACGTATTCTTCAGTTCGGTCTGATCGAGCGTGGTGAAGTAGAACAGGTCAAGGGAGTTACATACAGTTTGGATGCACTTCTGGGGGCAGCTACACCTTCACATGCTGACCACTCCAAGAAGTTCACCGATCACTCGACAGAACCTTCGCAGAAAGATGCAGCTGACATGGCAGCCGATGAGGAGTTTGCCACCATGAATGGCATTCCCTACACGCTACCAACTCTCTTCGCCGGTGATCAGGGCGGCGCAAGGAAGCGCTCAGCATCGTTGGACGCTTCAACAGGATCAAAGGCTGCAGCAGAAGCCGAAGTCAGGGCTGATCTGGCTCGTGGGGACGGCACTCCATGGTATGCGCCGAAACCCAAGTCGAATAATGCACTTTACTACGTCGTGATCTACCTCGCACCTGGCGATTACCACCGTTTCCACTCCCCCGTGCCCTGGGTGGTCGAGAGCCGCCGACACTTCGCGGGTGAACTGTATTCCGTCTCTCCATACCTGCAGCGTCACCTTCCAGGACTCTTCACTCTCAACGAGCGGGTTGTCCTTCTGGGACGTTGGCGCTGGGGATTCTTCAGTTATACCCCCGTTGGTGCTACCAATGTGGGTTCTATCAAAGTGAACTTCGACTCCGAGCTGCGCACAAACAGTCTCACCACGGACACCGCCGCAGATATGGCGGCAGCTCTCGCTGCTAAGCGAGGTGAGCAGTATCCCGGTTTCGTTGAGGCAACCTACCTGCACGCCAGCAGGACCCTCGGAGGCCATCCGCTCCAGAGGGGAGAGGAGATGGGAGGATTCCAACTAGGCAGTACGATTGTCCTGGTCTTTGAGGCTCCTATGGGCACCCGCAAGTCGTTCGACGCAGGATATCAAGAAGGAAAACGCGAGGGTGGCTGGAACTGGACCATCGAGATGGGTCAACGCATCAAGGTCGGTGAGAAACTAGGGTATGTAGATACCGAACAGTGAAATACTGGGCTATACGACACTTGAGATATCACGCCCGGTCTGGCCAGGAGTCATACATCTTATTAATGGGGCTGCTTTCTTTCTGTATTTTTTGGTTGTTACTGTATCATACCACTCTTCAAACATTTCACTATATAGCATAGACAGCGCGATTTCAACAGGAAGCGCACCCTGCGAGAAAAAGTATTGAAATTAGAGACTATGAATAGATCACGTACTTGTTTTTACCGCATCCTTTATACTAGTTTTGACATGGACAGAAGATGGCACGTGATAGCGCGGAGCAGCGACGCGAAAGATGAAGATTATCAAAGAACTGATTACACGGAATACAGCTACATTCCTCAATTAAACAGAGAAATGAGTCCCCAAACATAAACCTTACCAACTAACTCCATCCAACCCGAAATACCCCACCGCACAATGCCTCGCCATCACCATCTCCTCCGCCGGCACCCCGCTGCTCCAGAAGAATCACCCTCTGAGTCCACTCAACAACGCCCAAGTAGGTCACGACTGGGCCAACATGCAGCGGCACAGTCTCAATTCCAGACACCGCCGGCGCAAGGCATCCCCCAGCTACATCCCTCATCGGGGCCCATCGAACCAGCCGAACCAGCTCATCCAGCCGCCGCCGCCCAGGCGGCTCTCTTCTCCCTATTTGGCCGAGGAGTCGCAGGACGTCCACGGGCACAGATGATGGAAGATGACGAGGAGGAAGAAGACGACAGTCAATTCGAAGACGAATACGAGCACGATGAATACAACTCCCAAGAGAACGCGGATCACGAAGCCCAACTCTCCGAAGAGGACATGGAGGGGATGGTCGAGGACGACCTAGAAGTAATAGACGAGGACGAAGACGAGATCATGCACGATCGAGGTAAACTACTACTACTACTACTACTACTACGACTAAAACCCCCCATCTACCGGAATACCCATGACAGCCTTCCCCAAACTCTACATCAGAGCAACTCACTACAGACGTACGGGGGATAAAAAACAATAGCTAACACCTACCACAGCAAGATCGCCATCGCCGCTCCCCAGCAACCTCCGAGAAATATCCTCGCTCGCCTCGTGGACCGTTTCAACTCACAAGCCCGGTTGCGGCGTTTCGGCCCTGCGACACCCCTCGCCGACACAGTATTGGCAATCTGACGGCCCACAGCCGCACACGCTTACTCTACACTTCTTCAAGCTGGTCGCGGTGGTTAAAATCCGGGTATACCTCGACTTTGACCTGGACGAGAGTTACACACCCACGAAGATGACGTTTCTTGCCGGCATGGGCGGGAACGATCTCGTTGAGTTTGCGACGTGGGAAGACGAGACGCCGTGTGGGTGGGTCGATGTACCGTTAGAAGGCGTGGGCGGACGGGACGGAGGATGGGTGCGGAAGAAGCGACAAAATCGAGCGCGGAAGGGCGGGAAGGGGAAGTCCTCGGCATGGCCGGACTACATGTTTTCTGATACGGAGAATCCGGCGGAGTTCAACCTGGCTGCGTACGAAGATGACGATGAGGAGACTACCATCGAAGATGACGAGGATGATCCGTACGCGGGGAGCGTGCTCAAGGCGATGGTGATCCAGATGCGTGTGATGGAGAATCATCAGAATGGTAAGGACACCCATGTGCGCGGGTTCCAGGTCTTTGCGCGGGACGACGAGCGTCGGCGGATTGGCAATGCGCCGTCCGCTTCTGCTGATGGGAGGATCCGGAGGCATAGTATGCGGAAGTCGCTTCGCGGAGCGGCGGATGATGGGACGGATGGGCATGGTATCCATGGGGATGCGAACCCGGAAAAGGTTGCTGCGCTAGAAGAGCCCGATTGGATGGGGGAGCCTGTCATTCGCTAGGGAGCGAGAAGCGCATTGTTGCTGGGGATTCTTGCAGGCCCTGGTGCTTTATGGGTGGTGGAGGTCCTCCCATATATAGGTATGGATCACGGGCATGGGGAGCATCAAGGCTAGGTTGGTATTCGGAGTTCCGGTTGTTTAGATACCCATCTTTCGTTGTATCGGTTCCATGGTGCATTGTGGGACATTAAACTCAGCATTACACGTTATACGGATTATTTTCATGGAGCATCGAGGGTCTGGGAATCAAAAGCGAATTAATTCAAATATTTGTCATCTATATAAGTTATCCAGAAGGTCATATCTCATTGGGCATAGAGCCTAAATTTGTAACTTTTTCCCATTCATCCTTCCATCTCCTATTATTTGGTCTCGTTTACTTCAAAAGCTTCTCCAATTCGGCAGCAACAGCATCACCAACCTCAGCGGTGGTGGCCTTACCGCCGATGTCACCAGTGCGGACACCGGACTCGATAACGTTGCTGACAGCCTGCTCAATGAGGCGGGCCTCGGCGAACAGACCGAAGGAGTACTGCATCATCATAGCGACGGAGAGAATAGCGGCGACAGGGTTAACAATGCCCTTTCCGGCAATGTCAGGGGCGGAGCCTTCCTCCCTGTCAGTATATACCAAAGTTACGAAAGCAATGCGGGATCTAGGACATACCGTGAATAGGCTCATAGATACCGTTAACCTTGCTCTTTCCATCAGGGATGCCGCTCAAGCTAGCACTGGGAAGCAGACCCAGAGACCCAGGGATAACGCTAGCCTCATCACTGATGATATCACCGAACAGGTTGCTGGTAACAACGATACCGTTCAGCTGGCGGGGGTTCTTGACCATAATCATAGCGGCGGAGTCGATAAGCTGGTGCTCGATCTTCAACTGGGGGAACTCCTTGGCCATGACCTCGGTGACAACCTTACGCCACAGACGGCTAGTAGCCAGGACGTTGGCCTTGTCCAAACTCCACACAGGAAGAGGGGGGTCGTGCTGCAGGGCAAGGTGAGCGGCCAGGCGGATGATGCGCTCGATCTCAGCGCGCGAGTACGGCTCCGTGTCCATTGCGTATCCGCTGCCGTCGTCTTCCTTGCGCTCACCGAAGTAGATACCGCCCGTCAGTTCACGGATGATGTTGAAGTTAACACCGCGGCAGACGTCGGCGCGGAGGGGAGAGCTCTCGACGAGGGAGGGTGCGGCGAAGTTGCAGGGGCGCAGGTTGCCGAAGGTGCCCATTTCTTTACGGAGCTTCAGGATACCCTGTTCGGGACGGACGGCGCCGGTGCCCCATTTCTAGTCTCGCGTTAGATTATTTTGTCTAGGCTATATTTGAACAGTTGAGGTGTGCCATACCGGTCCGCCGATGGCACCCAAGAGAACGGCATCAGCGTTCTTAGCTGCGTTCAAGGCCTCGTCGGTCAAGGGGGATCCTGTAGCATCAATTGATGCCTATGTTACTCAGTAAGCGATATGCCAGTACCAAATGGTATCAGTATCTCAGAGGACACAAAGTGCAAACGTACTCCTCCCAGCAGGTGGTCTTGAAGGTTGAAGGTGACATCACGATTCTTCTCAACAGTGCGGAGGACCTAACCATTCGACGACAAATCTCAAGGTTAGCATATGCTAAATTATCCTTTCTCAGGTCCTCCGAGAGGTCGATTTGCGGTCGAAGTGCTTACCTTGATGGCCTCTGCGGTGACCTATAAACGATAGTCAGTATCCGGGCTATGAGAACTGTATAAGATTATCGGTATCTTCTCACCTCCGGACCACAGTGGTCTCCTCCAAAGACGACGATATTGTAGGAAGACATTGTGAAGCAGCTGTCTGAGTACAATGGACTATAACACTGACAAGAAACCAAGCTCAGAACCAGAGAGCACCGAGAGTTATATGGCCATGAGGGGTGGATCTCGAGTCACCCCGCGCGCCGACACCGGAGCCGCAGTCGGACTTCCCCGTGATTAACCGCTGCAAATGCAAGTGCAACGCTAGAAGGATCAAGCTAATTAGTACTTACGGGACTCTAGCATTTTCAATTGTTTTTCGTATTATTTCCTGATCACTACAATCATTCACTAGAAAGCAATTGTATGTCCACTAATACACAGAACCGGATTAGAATCTTTTAAAACATGTCAAGAGACAGCCTGAGAGAAAGGAAAAAAGAAAAGAAAAGAAAAAGAAAAATTGAAGTTTATAAAAAAACAGAAAGAAATGAAAAATGAGAAGCAGAGAAAAAAAAAGGGGGTGCAAATAGGTAGCCCATAATAAAGGCGACAGTCGAAGCAATTATACTACTAAGTCATTCGAAATGGGTCTGTCCCCGCAATGGTCTGCACAGACCTATAATTCCATATTGTCCTCCCAACTGAAACATATCTTCCGCAAGGGGCATCATAGAAAGGGAACAAGGTGATAAAGGAGAAAGGAGAAGAGGAGACAAAGAATTGGGGCAGCTTTCCACGGCCCCAAAGAATTAACCAGGCACCAAAGCCATGCAAGCAGGGTGATGATAATCAGGCCCTGGCAGCAGTGCTATCCCAGTATTAGGCGCGAAAGAGCCGTAGTTTCACCGGCGGCCATAAAACCGACAACTGCACCCAGGGGCCTAGTTTTTCTTACCGCGCAGCGCCCTGCGGTTGGCAATATCACCCTCAACCAGCCAGTTGCTAGCTTTGACAAGCTGCACCACGTTGATAATCTGCTTGAGAGCCATAACGGGGGCCGAGATTCCGGTGATGATCCAAGGCCAGGTGCTGTCAATCTTGTTGGCCCTAGCCATCTCCAGCGCGCCAGCGCTCCATGGGCTGGCGAACGAGTCGGTTGAGACCGGCTGTGCAGCGTCGGCTCCGGAGCCTGGAACGGGTTGAAGAAGGGACGGAGACAGAATAGGGGACGAGAACGAAAGAAGGTAGAGGCCAATGAAGAAAAGCTCATTCAGAGCACAGCAGATGAACAGAACAGTCTATAGATATGATTAGGATGGGACTTCTTGTATGCTGGGTATAACACACCTTGCTATTGTAGTACTGGTACAGGATCCAGCTCCTACTAGAATCGATCTTCTTGTGACTTTGGCCAGACCCGCCCATGCTGAGGGTAGCATACATGTGCATGTAATGGCTGGCCATGTCCAAGGCAATCAGACTCTGAAAAACGATAGACCAGCGAGGCCACGCCGAACTCAGGAACACCAGCAGACATGCAGTTGTGCAGCGGTCCGTCACCATATCCAGAACCGCGCCGAAGGTGGTGGACTGGTTGAAGTAGCGTGCTGCATATCCGTCTAGGGCATCCAGCAAGCAAGACACACTGTAAAGAAGGGAGCACGTTCGCGGATGCAACGGCATATAGTACAGCGAAGCCATCGTCAGAACAACCCGTAAATATCCTAATCCCGCACCACCGGTAAGCGTCTATTCGGAGCATCGTGGAATATCGACGAGGCGGGAAGAAGCTCCTTACCAATAAGGTTAGGGGCAAACAAATATACATTCTCCTTCACTTCCTTCTTGCCCGAAGTTCTAGTCTTCGTTGGTGACTTTTCCACTGTGCCATTGCCAGCCGGCGACTCATTGCTATCCGACTGAGCGGCCAAGGCGGCCTGTTGTCTTCTTGTGCGGGCACCCATCTTTAATTCAGTGGACACAGTGACGGATTTGGTAGCGAATGTGATCCCCAGCGATAAGTGGTCTTGTATGGATTTTGGAAGCACTGAAGCTAGAAAACCACAGTGGCGTGAGGGTTGAACGGGAGTGACAACCAGTTATGGAGGAAGCTGGACGATACACGATGTGTTCGCTATCTAAAAGTATACGACAATCTGCAAACGATACCGAGGAGTAATGCGTCAGTCAAAGCTATACATGTCGTAAGCACCCCTGTGGAGAGAGAGGTACAATGGCGATATGGTTACGCTTACGCAGCGCAGTTCTCCAGGAGAACTCTGCCAGAACACGTACCGAATCAACGCAAGTTTGACAACGCGTTTCGAACCCGAGTGGGGGACCGTACAGAGCCAAAGGATTTAGCGGTTGAGGCGAATGCGACTATACGGAGAAAAGCTCGTGGGAGGTGTTGGTAGTCTATCAGATCGAGGTCGGAGTGTTAGTTGATCAGGAGATCTCCGGGGAAGGATTTCTAAAATGGCCATGTGTGTCGTTTTGGCGATAAGGTTGATAAGCCACCAACTACTAGTGAAGTAGCGGCTGTAGTTCACTCGTGCGGTACTTACGCTCTGGACTCCCTCCACGCCGTTGGATGGATGGATAGATTATCTTCTAGATAAATTGCGACCTGATTCACGGACGGAGAAGAGCAAACCCTTCAAGGATAGAAATCAAAGAAAAGAAAAACAAAATAAGAAAAAGTCTGATCGTCCACCGTTTGCTCAACAATGGTATTAAGTAAGGTAAGTTGGTAGTAACGTTAGTAAGTCACTAAAGGGAGGACTTTTCGGACGGGAGTCTCGGAATTGGTTCGTGGGTCAAAGCTTTCGGGTTCCAAAGAAAAAAAGGAGAAGCTTTCCCAATGCGGTCATCCTGCAGAGTAGCCAATAGAAACGAATACATTTTATATATTATTACTAGTAGTACCTGAGAGTATATATTCTCTAGCACAGCACCTATGCTATGTACTTATAGAGTCAGTCGAACCAACCCTATTAAGAGCCATATCTGTATTACTGTGGTGTTTATAGTAGGGCCGCTTTGCCGACATAACGGAGAACACAGCAACTACTAGCTGGAAGTGGCAACGTCACGAAGTTTAGGTAGAATACTAGGATGTGGTTCCAGAGTTGGTCATGCTAATCAACGGACACTCAATGGACTGTGTGTTTGCTGAAGGCAGCCAAAGCACTAGAAACAAACGAAGCCTTGCCCGTTTGTCTTTCTAGGCTGACCCTGCGTCAGAGGGAAAACCTATTTATAAAACCAATCTCTTTGTTATTCTTAGCCGGTGAGCTAGTCACAATGACACAGTGAGTCCATTCACTTTAGGTGTAGTATGTAGTTTAGCTCCATGGGTTGGTGTTGAAGCCCCACTTGGTGCCCCATATAACAGAATATAGACTTGGCTGTTTGTGTTGCTTTGATTATTCCGATAATGTTTGCTACAAGCACTGATATAGGTATCACCTCAGTGTTGTCAAGGTCTTTAATCTCTCTCTAAGTGTACCTATATTCTATCCTTGAGCTTCTCCGTTGGTTATTTCCTTGTTCTAGAGTTAATCCAAGCCTACATATCTTCCGTTGCGATTCATCTTCACCCTTTACTTCTTGCTGTGCCTTTGATATCTGGTGAACTCTGGATCAGATGGCGATCGAAAAACCCTATTATGCTCCTGATTCAGGCGGTCTGCAAAGACGGACCCGGGCAGATGTGATTGAACAGCTTCAGACCCGCGTAAAAGCAACCCAGGAAAAACTGGAAGAAGTTGAAGCAGCCCTCAACTGCTGCCGTGAATACAGTGCACAGGATATCGAGACTATCAGCAGACAGCGTGTCAAAATTTTTGAGCTAGAAGACTTGGTCCAGAAACAGAAGACCACAATCAGCAACCAGAGCAAAGCCATTGCAAACCCCAAGAGAATTCGCACTTGCCAGCCCACTATTCCTATGCCAATAATTCCTCCCACGCCCACTCAACAGCGCCCTATCGTAAGGTCTCCATGTTCAAACACACCCTTGTCAGCCAGTCCTTACACCTCAAGTGTCCTTACTCTCCCTCCTCCCACGTTTGACCTAGCTGCTAGCACTCCACAGGGCAAACTTCTGAGTCTGGAAGAAAACTCCAAGACGTCACTTAGCCGCAAGCGGTGTGGTTTTCCGAAGAGCATTTGCTCCCTAGGTTCTTCATTCGATGCCGAGACACTCATTCGGTTGATCTCGACCAGACTTCAGAGCCTTTTCTCAAAGACGCAGACGTTTGGCCACATGTATACCAATTTTCCTAGCATTCAATTTGATAGTCAGTTGAACCCGTGGGTTAAGGAATATGTCATGAATATCTCGGATAAAATCCATGCATCAACTTTGCTAGGAAATCCATGCACTAGGCTCTGCGTGGTTGCGAAAGCAATAAACTTCTACCTCGTTCACCATATCTTGCAACCCATAGTCGTCAGAGGGTTCGACGCTCAGATGGATATGGAGATCAAACAGATACAGAAACACTTAGCCATAGGTATGTTGAGCAGCCTATAGTTCCCCTTCGCCGATATTAATGATGAGATACAGATACCCCTGTGGTGGTCCGCCATTCGCTGCTCATTGCGATGGCACACCATATCCAGGCCGTGGTAAATAAGCCGAAATTTTCCGAATTCAATAAAAACAACATGCACTCGTATATGGACAAATTGTGGATGCTCATAGGTCCCCTTACTCATGATCCCTTGAACCAACATCAGGTGGTCTGGGTGGATCTTCACGACATCTTAACCGAGGCACAGGCGCTCGCAATAGATCTATATTCGTTACCATTCGAATATAGATTCAAGTTTCCTGCGGTGAACGATATATTCGAGCCCGGGTCAATGGTTAACTGTGATCAATTTAATGATGGGGGCCCTCAGACACTAAAGAAGGACAACACCCTTGTTCGTCTGGGCGTTACCCCAACCATTAGAATCAGTGATAATTCCACGAGTCCTGCTGACATCAGGCTGGTAGGCCTCGCGAAGGTACTGTTGCGTCCTCCCCCTAGACGCTATACTCAGCTCATCCGTGAGATGCGTGCTAAGTGAGTGCCGGTTCGGTTGGGAAAGTGTTCCGAAACTCCCTTTTCTTCTTTTATCTTTCACCGCATCTTGGGCCGCATGAAATTGAGAGAAAACAGAGTTTATTACAGGCTTGAATGTGTTGGTTATAAACAGAGTGAATGAACTTGGACAAAGCGGTTTAGGCTTTCAGCAGTGTGATGATGTCAATAGTTGCAGCTCAGGATTGAGGGATTGGTTGTTGTAAGTGATCGATGGCGTTATGGTGGAGTCCATGATTTTGGAAAGTATCAGAATCCGAGGCTAAAGAAAAGTCCGGGGTGAATTTGGGCCCTCCCAATGATAACATGCCACACATTGCTGTTGATCCGATCCTTAAGAGAGTGTGATAAGTAAGATACTCCATGGGGTAAGTTGGGAGCCACGTCGATAAGGGAGATAAGAAGGATTTACTACTAAATCTAAGAAAATTGCCGTTGCATTTCTCCGTCGCAATTGCGCTCGGGCCGCAAAATCATCAATCCCCGCGGTTTCCCGATAAAGCCCTTCCTTAGCTTTTTTTTTGCATACTCCTTACTCTGTACTCTCAGACGTGATTTCACCTTTTCCCCATATCTTCAAGTCGTCAATGCCTCGACCTTCATGAATCTAACTCCTGCGAAGCGGGTCACAGTCCAGGTCCGGACTTTGGCTGATCGTCGCAGTACGTATACCTTAACCCTTGCACAAACATCCCTAGGGCTTATCTCCGAAGTGTCCATGATGGCGATCGTGTCGCCGACTCCGGTTCATACAGGAACTTTGGCGAACGTTGACTAATTCAATATGCTTCTTTAGTTTCTCTGGTTCTACCAAAGCGTTGCTACACGTCGAATCCTGCGAATGCTGCGACCAACGACAACAGGGCAACCAGGAGGCCTGAATTTCACGACTACTTTGTTACACATTTACCATCTTCATCTCTTCATCCAGATCCCCGAGCGCCAGTGAACTCCTTCTACAAACTTCCTCGCTCCGCCTCGGTTCCTCATACCGGAGAGTCATCTCACCCCCCAGCCTCCTTCCAGCCGCTGGTCGACCGGGAGACGACAGTCGTACGCATCCCTCTTCGCAGCGCGAAACACCACTTCGGGGCATCTACTTCCCGCGGAACTCGCCCGGAGAATGAAGATACATATCAAGCTGGTGTGATCGACATACCTGCATTTGCGAGGCGTCCCCCTGCGTCCCTGACGATCAAACGATCGGGTGCCCATGGGTCCCCTGCACCCCGCGAGAGTCAAGGGGCGGAGACTGCTAGTGGCGATCCACAGGTTTTCTATTTTGCAGTATTTGACGGCCACGGGGGAAACGAATGCAGCACATTTCTACAGCACACGCTTCATGAGTACATACAGGATTCGGCAGCGTCGTTCGAGCTCCAGTCCAGTCTAAAGAAACACAGGGATGGCCATTATTCTAAGGACACAGAGCCGTCCACTGGGGATTTGCCTATTCTGCAAGATGCCAACTCGCAACGAATCGGGGAACTAGAAAAGCACCTCGTCCGAGATTGGCGAACCCTAGTCGGAGGGTACTTCAAGAGATTTGTGCCTCCTCATTTTTCACATATTGGGAGAGGTGCCCGCGGAGAGCCAAAGGCACTGTCCGACCTACCCGAGGGTGTTACCATTGAAGAGGTCCTTGAATACGCTTTCCTCCGGACCGATCTGGAGTTTGTATCGGCACAAGCGGCGAAACAAGGCGATGAATTGGAGAACGTGGGTCACCCATTATACCAGGACAATATCCTCTACGGCCGTGATCGTACACCGTCTCTACACGTCGGAGGAGTAAGACGATTCAAGGGAGGTAGCACGGCTAGTGTCGCGCTCATATCAACCCCAACCCCTACCCCTTTCTGGCATCCGTCTGGCCCGTCTAGTCTGTTGGTGTCCCATGTCGGCGACACACGGATACTATTATGTTCTACAGAGACAGGCGATGCCATTCCGCTGACTTCCAACCATCATCCGGCGTCACCGATTGAGGCGAGTCGCTTACGACGATATGCCACTACATTCGTGACTGACTCGTTTGGAGAAGAACGCATGAGCGGATTGGCCAACACGCGAGCCTTTGGTGATGTTCAATCGAAACGGATTGGCGTATCAGCCGAGCCAGAGCTCCGAAGGATTGAGATGGCCCCTGCGGAGTACTCATTTTTGGTCCTCATGTCTGATGGCATCAGTGGCACGCTCAGTGACCAAGAGGTTGTCGACATCATTAAGGAGGCCAGGACTCCCGAGCAGGGGTCTCGGGATGTGGTCAACTTTGCGAATGAAGTGACAAAGGAGGGAGACAATGCAACCTGCCTCGTCGTCCGACTAGGTGGTTGGGAACGACGACTTGAAGGCGGTTTAGGAAGCATGGGAACGAAAGAATCTCGAGAATTTCGCCGACAAGAAGCGACTGACCCGCGTCGGTCACGGCGATGACCGTGAGTAAGTACTCAATGCTAAACTTGAGGATATGTAAATATTGTTCTTATTATTACTCCTTTTACTTTGATGAGTTTTGGCTCTCTGGTCACACTGTACATATTATCAAACATTCACAATACATCGCCATCTTGATTTGTGTCCGTCTTAGCCTAACGCAGCCTAAAGTGGAGCAGGTAGAGTTGTAAGGAACAGACCATGAGGATCTGACTAGTAGTAGTGCTGACTGCTGACGGCCACACCCTACTGGTCTGCAACGCAATGCCATCAATCATCACCCACTTGATAAACATAGCCCCCAGGGCGTATCGGCTTTGAATACGCCGCAAAACCCGACCCAAACCCGACAACACAAAGTATCATATATAAACACGAATACGAGAAGCTTGCAACCTCCAATATATTCAACCTTAATACCCCATCCATAAATCTCCTTCGGAAAGAAAGAAAGAAAGAAAGAAATCTAACTCCCATACCCAATATATCAATCAAAATGTCCTCAGACACAGCCCCAACACTCCTGACCCTCTACCGCGGCCTCCCAGGCACAGAAACCTACAGCTGGTCTCCATTCGTAATTAAACTGGAAGCCCGCCTGCGCTTCGCTGGTATACATTACCGCGTGGAAGCAGGCTCTGTACGCAACGCACCCCGAGGCAAAGTGCCCTACATCTCCATCCCGGCAGAGAGCCTTTACGAGGATGGAAGCAAATCAGCCCCACCGGTCGTTATGGGCGATTCGACCATGATCACGAAGACATTTATTGAGAAGGGGTTGACGAAGGATTTCAACGCGAAGCTCTCGGGATCACAGAAGCTCCAGGATATGGGGTTGATAGCGTTGTTGGAGGATAAGTTGTATTGGTATAACGTATGTATTGATTTATTTCCGATATTCTGTTTGGAAAGGGTACTACCCATCGTGGAATAATATCTTTCATGACTTGAGAGCACGTTGATCTATGACGAGTATGTGTACTGATTCCGGAACCAGGGATACGAAAAATGGGTGCTGAACTACTACACCATGCGGGATGTGATTCTGGCGGCATTGCCTTGGCCTGTTCGTGTCGTGGTAGGCCTCATGGTCTACAACAAAGTCACGCGTACTCTTACCGGCCAGGGGACGATGCTTTTCTCGACAGAGGAGATCAGTTCCTTAGCCCAGGAGATCTGGGAGCGGGTCAATGGTGCGCTTATCGAGGCGAGATCGCGACATGTTGAACGGGGAGGACAGGGTCCGTTCTGGGTTTTGGGTGGTGAGGAACCGACTGAGGCTGATGCGGCGCTTTTTGGGTTTATTGTTTCAGGGTTGGTTTGTTATGCGTATGATTTTCCCTCCTTCTCCCCTCTTTTTCTTTCTCCGTATTTTGTGTTCCTATGCCTCGTGATGGGTTGCTAATGCTGTTATGTTTGGTGTAGGGCGCCCCATACGCAGAAGCTTATTCGGGAATATCCGGCGGTGGTGGATTATGCTCGGCAAATTCATGATAAATATTTCCCTGACTACGCACTTTGGGCGTGAAAGTTCACATCGAGTGCCTAGCGGCTTCATCATGCAGGTGGTGGGGAACCAAGAAGCAGTGTCTTTCGGGCCAAGCATAGACCTCATGGTGAACGGAGGGTTGCTATGGCATAAACACTCACAGACTACGGAGTAGTCGATATCCAAAGCGCTCATCACCTATTTAGCTGATCACACGTATCAAAGTGCATGCCTGGTGGAGTTTCAGTGAATGAGAAGACCTAGATACTGGAAAACTACAAAGGTTTTATTGCGCTAATGCACTGTACAAATCCCTATAAACAAATCATTGCACAAGAAGCCTTCCGGCTCATAAAAAGCAATATGTCAAAAATGGCACCTACCAGGGGTAGTGTCATCAAGGCCAAGCACCATGTCGAAATAAGTTTAATGGTTCGGAGTTAGACGGTGGTTCCGCCACAAATAATCGCACCTAATACCACGCTATTAGATGAAATACCTACTAAGATGTAAGCTTTCGTAGGCGTTTGATGAGTCGAGCACTAGATCGCCTTGGTTCGAGAGAACAAACTGCTGTAAACAGCGTCGACAACGGGCTGTGCGGTGATCTGTTTGCCGCCGAAAAATCGTCCATTCAAGCCTTTGATGGCGTTTTCACCACCCTGGACGCGGTCGAACTTCAGGTAGATATCACCTTGTGAGTTAGGATCTAGTGCAATGTGAACAACATGGCCATATTTTTCTTCGCACTCAGCGCGGACGTCATCCTCTAGTTCTTTAATCCAGCTTTCACCTTCTTCTCTGTATACATTGTTAGAGTCCATAGCTTGCAAGGAGATTTATAGGGGTAGACTTACTCGGCAGGATCAAACATATTTCGAAGCATAACACACCGACTTGCCATGTTGACATTGACAGGCAATGGCTTGGTTTCTGTTTTAGGCCGAAGCACCTTCTGCTTATCGTCGGCGGACGACTCTGAGGGTTCATCTGTTCTTGCAAGTTTCCTCATCAATGCGTCCCTACTATAGTTGTTGAAGTTCACACCAGCAACATCTGTATCATCCAATGCACTAGCACCGGCCCCTTTTTCAGAATCCCTGCCGCCAGCACGGTCGAAATTGCTAGTACCACCGGCCTGGATACCACGGCCTCCATGGCCCGAGAACGAAGAGCCCTGGAAATTCTGTTGGTTTGCACCTTGGCTCTGCAATCGTTGAGCACTCGAGTCAGGGGTGAACTTATCGTTGCCAAGGCCAACGCGGATTGCTCGACCAGCAAGGTCAAACCCGTTCATTTTTTCTAGTGCCTCCCGAGCTTGATTAGGATCACGGAACCTAAAAGATACCAGTTAACAACAAGAGCATCGCAGAAGAAGGGTTGTCACTTACTGGACAAAACCATAACCTCTGCTTCTACCGGTTTCGTCCTTCTGAAGCTGAACAAACTCGAGCTCGCCAAACGGCTCAAAAACATTCTGGAGGTCATTTTCAGTGATGCTGAAATGGATATTACCCACGTACAACCTGTGAAATGGAGCTGCGTGATTGTTGCCACTGCTGGCGTCCGGGTTGCGAGCCTGACGATTCTTTTCCGCTTCAGTCAACTGTGCGATTATAGGGATTCCTAGAAGCTTCTGTCCCGTAAGTTGAATAGCAGGAGCAACGGAATCTTCGTTCTTAAACTCGACATAACCGACACTAGACAGTTGTTAGGTCACCGACATACCTTCAATGGAAAATCGAAGACTCACCCTTTAGACCGACCACTAACACGATCCTTGACAATCTGAGCCTCTTTAACTGGTCCAACCTTCTCGAAGAAAGCAATCAATTCCTTAGTTCTCAGACGCGCCGCAAGCTGCTGTACAAAAATCGTGCGTCTATCGCGCTCATCCTCGTTGAGCTCCGGGGTCCTTTCGCGACTGGGGCTACGTCTGCGAGTCTCTCGCTCACGGCGAGAGCGTCGGTCATCATCTCTCTCATCTCGACGGGAACGACCCGAAGGGCGGTAATAGCGGTCGTCATTAGGGGATCGAGATCGAGTGCGGGCCCGCCCACCTCCGCGGTAATAGTCACCGCCAGATCGGTAGTCATCGCCATAGCGTTCACGTCGAGATCGACGGCGATCACTCTCGCGGCTCCTACTCCTCTTTCTGCTTCTATGGCTTCCGTTAGCACTGCCATGTTCGCTTCTCGGACTCTTCATGTCTTCATCTCCATCGGCGTCACGACGTCGGTCCCGGCTGCGGTCCCGGCGTCTACGATCTCTGTCTCGTGAGCGGTCGCGGTCCCGGCGGTCACTACTATCGGCTTTGGAGCGGTCATCGCGTTCCTGAGACTGTCGTGCATCTTGTGGCGCTGCGGCGGCTGTGGACTCAAGTAGAGCCTCGACATCGAGACCTGACATATTGACGATATGTTGATAACTCTGCCCTGGATGAAGCTGAATGGAAAGGAGAAAAGGAAGATCGTGCGGGATGGATTAAGGTCACTTTTGGATTGGTTAGATGGTGACGGCAGATCAGGCTAGGCTTGAGCAAACCCTTCTGTTTCACAGCCTAATTCCAGATAGAGCGTCCCTGCTCCTAAGTAAAAGATCTAATCGTTGTAGAATATGTTAAACGGTCAAGAGAAAAGGGGTTATTGAGAGTCAAGAGTCACAGAAGTGGTACGAGATAACAGGCAAGGCTGGGTGGAAATGAAAAGCGGCCGACATCACGTGGTACCTCTTGGCGTTGCCTCCGAACAATTTTCTGAATGAACCATAGAAACGTCGCCACAAGCACGGTTACTTGATCTAAATCTCCAGTAAACACGCCTTTCATGGTAAACGCATTATGTATTAGGTGTTGTTATCATATACAATCGTATAAAGACTATTTGACAAAATGGCCTCGCCAAAGACCATGATCATAATATGTATGGGAGGAATCACGGTCCTGCAATAGCAAATGACCGAATTCACTGTACATGAAGCAGAGTAGGGTGGAACAAAAACTAAGCTTTCGAAATCCTATGATTTCAGAAACAAACATGAATGAAAGACTGAGCCGTAATCAGCCTCGACATTACTTCGTACTTAGGATAATTCAGATGAACGCAAATCCTTATGCGATTGCGTTCACTGGGTCTTCACATCTTTAGGTGCGGGTGTTTCAAGCTCAGTACCGAAAATACGGTCCCAAAACCGGCTGGTGACACCGAAACCATTGTCGAAGTCGGCAAAATGATGTTGGAGGTGGTACTTCTTGAGTCCCTTATAGTAGAGTGGAAGACTGCAGTGTAACATGGGTAAGAACATTTTCACAGAACTTGAGATTCCAATGTGACTCACTTGCGATGATGGAGGAAATAATGGGTCAAGTCATAACATATGTAACCGAATACGCCGCCACAGAATACCATCAAGGCGGCATACCAATTATAGAAGAAGACACTATGCGCCAGCTTCCAAAATGGTGTAGCGAGGACGACAAACAGCGTTGGTGGCATCACAAGTCGGTATTTGTCCATAGGTAGATAGTGATGAATGCCGTGTAACAGGAAATGGAGGGTCAAGCCGACCCGGTTATCAGGAAGATATCTAGACAAACTTAGCTTTGGAAACCACAGGGCTGGAAGGGGAGCTGAGGGGCCATACCGGTCAAGATGGAATAAAAACCTATGCATAAGGTACTCGATCAATGTCCACAGGAAAAGGCCACCAACCCAATAGGCAGCTGCAGCAGACACATTCCCCAGCCCGGCAAACCCGATCATGGTACCGTAGGTAACAGGCGGCAGCCATAGAATCGGAACCACGTACCATGCAGTCTTGCTCAGGGGCTCCAGGAAGTTTCCAAAGAGAGGAGCTGATTCTCCTCCCTTGTAATGGCGTGGGCGGTGGATCTGCTCCAAGTAGAACTCTTTGCTGAAGCCACCGTTCCAGAGCTGCATAAGGAGAGGCTTGTTGAGATCCAAGAATTTGTGCGTCTGGTAATCCTTGGAGTAATCCGTCTCAACAGACAAGTCCTCTTCGCGGGACATTCCAGTTGCGGCATATACAGGGCCCGATGATTTCCCTACACCATCTATGCTTGCACCTTTGCCAGTCGAGTCCGAGGCAATGAAGCCAACCAGACTGTCTTCTAGAATATCGTAGGCTGCTTCCGAGTGTTCGTGGGAGACGGCATCGCGCAGAATTTCTTTGACGTCTTTCCCAGCATACTCAAGGATCAAATCACCGCCACCAGGATGATCATCGACAAAAGAGGTAATATCGTAGACTTTGGATCCCAGAGTCACATAGCAGGATTTGGCATTGTTATGGGACTCAACCTCGGCGGAGGTAAACGTTGGTAGCGTCCTTCCAGGCATGGTTATTGAACGAGAAACGCTCAATTATGGATGCCAATCGTTGTAGGAAGAATGTAGAAGAGATGAGATATAAGCGTGGAAATTCGAGAGATGTAGTTGGACGGATCACACCACACCTAAAAAACGGAATGGATAATCGGAAAGGAGTGGCGTGAGCTTCAAAATAATATCTAGGGTCGCGGGTCCGGTGGCTCCGACGGGTACAAGGGAAGGGGCACGGAAGGAAAGAAGGTAAGAAAAGAAGAAAAAAAGAAAGAAAAAGAGTTAAGGAACAAAATACTCTTGCGCGCAACCCGGTCAAAAAATAATTTGCAACCTCTGCGATGTAGCTAATCACCCACGAAAATGACCGGTGTTGAAAGGGTACTTAGTAGTGTTCATTGATTCATCAACAGGTATGAACATCAGGAGAAAGCGGAGGCGATGCGAAGATTCCACAAAGTCATCTTTACGCTCCTCTTCTTCCTTAATCACGCTTATGCCGAGGATGGACCAAGTTTGGCGCTAACCTTTCAGAGAAGGTGACCCCTGGCCAGATGGTTAGTCAGCAACCCAAAAGAGACGATCATCTCTATAATGGATACCTAGGGAGTAGAGAAGAGAGAGAGAGGAAAAAGAAAGAAAAAAGAAAAGAGAAAAAAAAAAGAAAATAAAGATGCCGTTGTATGTCAAATGAACGAGTGGGTACGTGAAGCAGTGTACATTTTGTCTCGTAAATATGAACGTATCTAGACATGATCAGGCCGTTGCAATACGGTCGATCTTACGAACCGAGTTTTGAGGGATACCAGTCTGATGGGTTATAATTTGGAATTATATGTAAGCACCTACTGCCTCAGTAGATATCAGGTGCATGGACATGGAGAAGAAGAAGAATAAGAAGAGGTCTAATGGGCGGCAAAATCCAGGAGTAATTTCAGAGTAGATACATGTAGTAATGTACATCAGCAAAAGCAAGCATAAGCTCTGGGTCTAGATTAAGCATAGATCATTTCCTGCATGATTGTCCAAGCGCCTAACTTGTCAAGTGAAAGGAATTGGTCGACTTTGTCATAGGGAGCCTCATAGGGGCCTGAGTAATCCAACAGACTTCCAGCACTTGATGGCTAGGGGGTGCCGTTAACCTGTGGTCTGGTTCCCTGATATAACTGAGTTGCATTTGCAATGGCCAATACAGAGCGCTAGTGGAGTTTAGTGCCTTGGCGGTACGGCAGTGTTTCATTACATATTTCATATGGAGCTACTAGGAGTAAGTATGAGGACCGGGGAACCTATCAACATGCAGACAAAAGTAAACACGATTTTTGAGGCCCAGAATGAACATCCTCGGGGCTTTGCGAGGCTTTTCTGATCTTTTCTTGAAGATTTACCAACCCGGTATGTATGTATCCAGTGCATCTGTTTAGTTATGTACCATGCATTCGATCGGAAACGCATGGACATTATCATCTTGGGGCCCGCGTCCGGATCCTTGCGTTCCCTCATGCATGGGGTGGGGATTTGCCAATATTCAAATCGTCATGGGCAAGGGTTGACATGCAACCTTTTACCACTATAGGAAGGCTAGGGAGCATAGCTTTAACCCGGAGGTAGATCGACGGATCCTGTTTAATTATGTCGAAGATACCCAACGTTTTTGCCATCCAAGAACAAAAAGAATCAAGGCCCACTCCATAATACCAGACATTATCGGTCGCTCTCCGCCGAGGGCAACGAAAGTGAATCCAATCCAGACCTATTCTACCTTCGGCCGAACTTCAGCGGGGCTGGCTGAGTAGATAGACTTTTTTCAGAATCCGGATTCAGCTTTGCCCCAGGGTAGCTGACTGAGGCCTGCGGTCATACCGGGAGGAACACCAACTTGTCTCTCTCAGCCTCATTTCTCTTTCGATTCTCATTCGTCCTGTTTATATTTCCACTCCGCTTGTACCACGGTTCATCTGTACCCGAAAGAACTTAAAGGGCGTTGTTTCTCTTTGGCAGTGGTACGCCCCAAAAACCCTCCCACATGCCAAACTCGGTCTAGCGACATGGGGACTTTAGGGTTAAGAGGCCGACTACGGAGCACTCCTGCCTGAAGGACAAGTAGTTAACTAGAGCCCATGTGGTAGGCGGTCAAAGGAAGTTTCGGACAAAAATTGAGATTAGTGCATACTCCGTAAGCGGTCTCTCAGCCCGTTCTCCCCTTTCGGCCTTAGTGTAAATGATGGTAGGCTTAGAATGGTTTAGAGGGAAGTTGTACCGGTTAGATGGGAATCTTAACCGTTCTCTCCCCCTTAATATGGGGAGCCACAACCGATGGTACGGAGTATTGTGATTACAATAACCTGGTTGGAGAATCGTCGGAGATCCTCCAAACGGTCCACCATTAGACGATCTTCAGTGAATCAGTGAGCGTGACCCTGAGATGAATGCATACCAGCAAAAACGTAAACACGCACAACACACTCGACTCGTCCAAAAAAGTAAGTCCACAATGAAAAAGAGAGAGAGGGGGAAAAAAAGAAAATAAAGAAAATAAAGAAAAAAAAAGGAAAAAAGAAAAAGGAACAAAAGAAGGGACGCATGAGATACACCATGTCAGAAATCCCTATTTTCAGTTCGGAATCATTCTCCTTTTCCCCCTCTTCTCTCCCTATCTCTCCCTTTGTCTCCGTTCATCTCTTTCTCTCCCTCTTTATATTTTACGTGACAGGTGTTACCTTGTCGGAGTATAAAAGATCAACACCCCAACGAATCTACCAACAACGTCCTCGAGGGACAATTAGCTGACTCGATTGAGTTTGCCTAGGAGATAAAATAACCACAACACTGGGTCTTTTGCCCCTTGTCGATTTACCTGAACGGACTAACTGTCAGAAAAAGTGGAGTTCCTAAAAGCCTTCCGTCAATCATTTTGTCTCGACCGACTGGACCATTTTATTTGCTTAGACGCCAACGACGTTAGTACAGGTTTAGTTTCATCAAGAGGGCCAACTTCTCTGGTTCACTTTGCCGCAAGCTCTCAGGTTAAAAGAAGAAGGCAATTCCCCATTGTTCTCCCCGTTTCTTGAACGACATACATTCCTCCTCCCCTCCCCCCCCCCGCGGTTATCCCAGTTCCTCCATAAATAATGGAGGGCTCAACGTTCGAATCCCCTTCCTTCCTCGGAAATCGCTTAATCTCCTACCTCCAGACCCTAGCAACGGCTAAGAAGGGATTGCCGTTTGGTCTTCCTGTTTGCGTTTCTCCCGCCCACATCATCACAACCACAGCTGCTCTACTTCAACTAGCATCGTCCATTGGCCCACACATTGCCATTCTCCAGATCCACGCGGATATTATCGACGACTGGTCCGACGAGACAGCTCGCCAATTGACTTGCTTAGCCAAGAAACATGGATTCTTGCTGTGGGAATCTGGCCGCATCCTCAATGCTACCGTCGATATTGTTGGCAGACAGAAAACCGAGTCAAGAGAAGTGAAGAATCAACTAGTGGACTTGATACGGAAGAAGTACACGAAAGGTGTCATAAAGGAAGCTTCGTGGGCTGTTTTGGGAACCGCATGGGCCTCAGGGGTGGCAGTGGGCAACCAAGAGGCGGATATTTTGATCCCGACCCTGAAAGCTGCCGCTCGAGAGGCTGTGGCGGATGCGGTGCAGACCATTAAGACCGAAATCACAGCCAACAACCCAAGTGAACGTCCATCCACTGGCCATGAATCAATAGCTTTCGGCGATAATGATGCTACTTCACATCTTTCTGAGTATGCGGTTGGCGATACCAGCGGTCTAGGACTTCCTCCCCGAAAAGCCTCGACTATATCTCTTACCCAGACAATCACACAGCATACGGAGGATGTAATGGAATCGCATACGGACTCTGGAGCCTATGAACGGAAGGAAAGCTTTCAGAGCGCAACCTCAAGTCTATTTGTTATCAATGAGGATATTCCACCTCCACCTCTTCTAGCGCGTGGCCTTGTCCTGTGTCTGCCGTCCACTACCGATTCCTCTTTCAAGTCCGATTACAGAAAGAGTTGTTTGGCCGCTGCTCGCGCGAATCAAGATTTTGTGATTGGATTTATATGTGGTGAGCTATGGCATCTTGTTTCCCAAAGAAACGATATCTTCGACACCGAATCTCTGGCGCACGAAGAAGATCAACAACAACCTAGTCCCTATGCTTCAGATGAGGAGGAGCCTCAGCCGTGTCTGGCGCTATTCTCGCATGTTCCCCCAAGGCTCAGCCTCATAGGGAACACAGATTTTGAGGATCATGACGAGGGGAATGGAATGGATGAAATGAGCTGGTCTGCGATGGAGGCATCCCAGGCGGACACCACGGATCTACCGTCCTTGAAGCTTTTCTACAGCATGGCGCATGCATTAAAGCTTCGAGAAGCGTCTATCAAGGACAAGCAAAACGGGCATACCAACACAAGTAACCGGAATGAATACGAGATCCTGCACATCCCTGTTGTATCTTTGCCTTAAGAGAGGCTGCTCAATATTCGGCGTTTTATCCTTCTATCTCTTTTTCACATTCCCTTTGGGTTGCGTTTGTTACTGGGTGATCCGATAGCGCATTTCTTCGTGCCATCAATAGAAATTTCTTTTTTTTTTTTTTTTTTGAACGTGATTGCGGAGTTGGACTCATGGTGAGGAACAAGTTGATTGAAGTTACACACTTGCTTTAATTTAATGTGAAAACAGATGTACTGTATATTACAATTTCCGGGACAAGAGGTATCTTATTAATTGGACAATTGTCCTGTGAAACTATCCATTAGAAACCGCTCCTCTCAGGGTTGATACACAATGCCATTTTCGGAAGGTGCATCATCACATGACGCTATCTCCCAATGGGGCAACGTTCGTCGATGATTTCAGTTCCGCACCATTAAATCCCAACTTCTCGCCATAATCGAGTCGCAACACGCTTACGCTTACTAGAATGCACATAGGCGCATGTCTATGGTCTCTTCATATGGGGTGAATATACGACGCTCTCATAATCGTGTAGAGGGGCATCCGAATAACAACACAAGCCGCTACCATTCCATTAATATCGATGAGAAACAAGAATATAGGGAATTCTACAATTCTAATGTGCTTTCAGAACTGTGACGCGAGTAGTGTGGAAAGGGTCTATATACAGAGTCTCACCTCCTGAACTTACATGTCATGGAGCTAGGTCATTCCTCATTACCAGTTGGAATAGGAGCTTCGCTTCAAACATTGGGGCTTCGCAATACTCAAGACGATACCCCCTGCTCTCGTTTGATAGGGGAGGTTTCTACTACTATTAACAATCATAAAGGGGGAAAGACTCCTTTGATTGGAGCTCAGCCAGCTGTAAAAGTTCTATTAAGCACCGGGGATGTGATTATCGAATACGTTCCCCCAGACAGCTCTCCTCCTGTTTCTCCTGAAAACGCTAGTCACCGTTGGCAGGTCTTAAGTGACGATCTTATGAGGAACAGTCCCTACTTTCGGGCCTTGTTTGACCCTGATAAATTTTCTGAAGGCAGGGATTTCATCCAACAGAAGGCCAAGTGGAGTCAGGGTACCACTGCTGAGGGCGGAGAATCTTTATCTGATGGTATCTCGATCCAGTATACCTTGCCAACGGTCAGGCTGCCGGTGGATCATCTCCCACAAAAGCTCGGGGTAGATGCTATTGAACTGTTCCTTCGAGTGCTATCGTTCAACTCATTTGATGAAGCAGAGAAAGCCAAGCTCGACGGGGAGCTCAGAGTTCAACCTACATCATTAGTTGCTAGGTTGGTAGAGTTATCTGATGCCTTCAACTCTCCTTATGCCATCCGGGATGCTTTGAAAAGGTCCAGGTATGCTTTTGGGAAAGGAAAAGTCCCCCTGTTGAGGTTCGATTCCTCGGTACTGAGATTGAGTGAGGACCGTATTCGGCAAACGATCTTCATAGCGAGGTTTCTTAATGAGTATACCATTTTCCAAATATGGACGCATGCGCTGATCCTTACTGGGTCAAAGTTTTGGGTAAATGGTGTGGAACCACCTACTTCAGCTACCGTCCGCTGGCGGTATTTTTCCGATGGTCTAGAAGGTAAATCTAGCCTTCCTTTATCATTATATAAGCATGTGGTGGTTAGATGCTAACAGAGTCTGCAGAAGAATTATACTATAGACGACAATGCGTTTTGAATACCATTACGGATCTCCAAGCGTACTTTCTCCGCGCTTTCGGCGCATTGGAGGAACCAGAGGGCCCTAAGTCGATCACTGCATCGGTCGCAGCAACTGCCGTCCAATCTCGACAGTATCAATGCCGGTGTGGATTTGGCAATTCCAGTGCCTGTGATTCCTTTCACCTAGGTCAAATGACTCGCTTTTTCACACTGCGCACGAAGACAATATTTTTAGGATCTACCTTAATAGATCCAGATCTAGGCTTCGACTCTGAAGACGAGGACACATCAGAACGACCCCAGCCCGCTGGGGCACCAAGTGACGTAACTGCAATCATCTCCTCGCTCAAACAGTGTCCTGATTATCAGATCGATACAAATCACAATGGTTGCGGCGTGCGACGCCGATTCCTTCCACCTTTAGATTGTATAGAGCGGTTTGTGGGCGACAGTAGAGGCTTACTAGGTATTGAGCTACAAGACTGGGATAACAAAAATTGGCCGTCTTCCTCCGGCTCGTGGGCAAATCGGTCACTTCAAAGAGCCCGTGTCATCGATATACATCTGTCCAGGATCAGTTCTGTGCCAGCCATGTCTTCGGGCTTATCACGGTCCTCTTCCCAGGAAGAAAATGCTCGTTTACTTTTTACAGCGAAGAAGAGAAACTGGGAAGCTTGATCTGAACATTAGTCTCGGGTGTTGCGTCCTTGAGGTTTATTATTATGGTGCCATTCTGTCTGCCTGTGTGGTTTTGTTGTTATGAAGACATGATGGTTGGTAAATACTGGCATAGACTATGTCGAGTTTGTATAGGCAATCTTGCATATCTCCTTAGGGCGTTACTTCTACTATTGGGTGTATAAAAGCATGAAGGATGTATTTATGTCGCTTTGGCGACCAACAGACTTGACACTTCTAGTGTTCGAAGGAAGTGATGGACAGTCAATTGATATACCAGGAAGATAAAGGGAAACATGCTTTTCTCTGACATCATTACAGGTAGTGCCTTGCGGCAACAATTGTCTTCACCATACAACAAGTAAAAACTACTTTTCAAGATATTCTGAGGCTGGAGAAAGCATCAACGCTTCCCACAATCAAGGGACCGGGATCGAATGCAGTACATTGGACATCACAAAGAGATCGGGGACCTTACCCTTCCCGGGAACAAGGCCTTGATCTAGTCGGCTGGTCAGGAGATGTTCTCATACAGCAGGTTATACGTGCTCTGATCTCCTTAGTCCTTTCTTCGTTTTCCCTGCCTTGTCATTATCTTCTTGCTCTTTTGTCTGTGCTCCATCCACTTGAGGAAAAAGCTGTATGATTGCGCAGTACCACTATGGCTTTTGAAAGAGTTTGAGGGTATTGACATCGTGCCTGAAGAAATCGAGCGGCAGTAAGTTTGCAGTCCAGCGAAACCAAGCAAAAAAACGGTCCATGGAGTAGTAATGAAGGATCGTGGCTAGGGAAACATTGTGTGGCTCAATAGGCTGTGTTGACTTTCTGATTGGAAATTAGTGTTGGGAACGCCATAGCGAATCTATTCTGGGAAGGGGTGACTCCTTATCGACCTGACCTCATCTCAAATGGTAACTATGTAACGAGGTGGTGAATTATGCTTTGTTGATCTCGCTCGCGGGTGTTTTAGGCTCATAACGATATGCCTTCTCGTTCATTGTTTTCGGTGAGTCATTCGTTTAGAACCCTTCTCATTGTACCTGTCACTTGTGCAGACGAACGGGCGACGGACAAAATATCGTCGTCATCCATTTGTAGAGTGTCAGAAGAGGGTCATTAAACATTAAATAGCTAAATCGACAGTAGTTTGTAATCAAGTATCTAAGACTAGTGAAAGACAACGTGTGTGTTGCAGAAGTTCTTCGAAGATTTGTGTTCGATAAGCAAGACCTTTCTTCGACAGGTCCCTTGTGCTATCAAGGGCCATCTGAAATTAGTGGGGATGCTTAGTGGTCATCCTATCGTTTCATCCCAATAATACGGCCCCAGTCCGATGTCAATATCATATTCGAGAGGGAAAAAAGAACCAGTTATCTGCCCCGTGTTAGGGTCGTAGGGTAAATAGCCGTCATAAAAATTGTGTACAGCGAGAGCTTTCTCATCTTGCTCAATTTCATGTGTCTGCGGGACCTTCAGGCCAACTGACGATGGCCGGGCAGAAGCGACGCTGGAATGGTCTACCGGTGACAATGGCATAGAGCCTACTCCGCCTGGAAGGCCATTGGGGGTGCCTACTCTTGTGAGTCTGGGGTGTGAATTGTGAGGTTCGTCATCGGGCGAGTTCTGTTCTGTAAAGCCCGATATACAAGGGAAGCAGTGGATCTCAGAACCGCCGTTGAAGCCAAGCCGGCGCAGGAACTCATCGCACATTCTCCGAGCTTTTTCTGAGGCCATACTAGTCTCCGACATAACTGATAGCCAATCGTAGGACTTTCTAGCCGCCTTTGACACCATGGCCGCTTTTTCAGGGACGTGTTGAACATGAAAAGAAAGCTCAATTAGCAAGACGGCGGTTGCTTGCATAAGGAAATGTAAAATACACCACCAAGGAGATAATTTGTAAAGCAATGCCGCTTCCAAAGACTCGGGAAACAGTCTCAACATGTGGCAAGCTGATTCTACACATTCAACTGCAGCCTTTCTGCAAAACTCTTCCGATTTATCACCAAGTGTACTTGACTCTATACGGCGAAGACACGGCTTTGTGATCCCAATCTTCGTACTGTAAAATGTGAGAGCTAGACTCATTCTGTGGGTTGCTGAGCCTTGTGAGGTGTGTGTTGAGGTAAAGTCGTAAGCAGCGGGCAGATTCATAAGCCATGAATCAAGATCAAGCATGAGTCCGCGTATCGCAAACTCCATACTGGACCAAGGCTTTCCCACTCCGTCAGGGTTATAGAGCTTGCTTGCCATCCTTTTTGCAATTGATGTCAATTTTATCAGCTGAAGGAAGTACAAGGACTTGCACGGGGTAGTGGCGTTTACATCTGCGCTCTCCGTCCCTTTACCTGTGTCCCTAAGATCTGGTTTGGGCGAAGAATTCGAGGCGGGCCCGAGTTGACCAAGACCCTCCAGTGTGGAACGGTTTATGAGGCGCATTACTGGCTCTTTGCGGAAGTCACTCTCATCGAAAGGGACAGGCAGAGGGGTCGTACAAGAGCTATCTATGATGCAGGACGGTCGGCCTGTCATCACACTGAGACGATGCTCGAGTGTGTATAAAGCCCACCACACACGGTATCTTATTTCCTTAGATGTATCGGAAGTGCACTTCCCTATATTGCGTAAATGCAACCCAAGGCTCAGTGCACTTCGCACAGCACTGCCACAGAGCTTCCATGACCTGGATCTATGTGTAAGCGTGGCGAGCTTTACATTAGAAACGCATATATCCAAGGCAAGCATACCGATTTATATGGCCAGATGATAGCATATAGAACGACGCCAACCCTTCAACCTGTAACTGTTGTAGGTCAGAATGGTTTAGCAGTTGACCCTCGAGACTCATGTTTCTCGCTCTTATGAAGTATGGATAATGATCATCCCTGTCCCTTCTCCATTCTGCATTGGTCAAATGGGCATATCTTGCACCAATAGCAAAGATAAGGTTCAAAATGGCCAGCCACTTGTTTCCTGGCTTCAAAGACGGGTTATTGAAGAAAGCTTGAAATTGTGATGCAAATGTCGAAATTCCGATTATGGGAAATGATGGGTGTACAGAACTCAAGTACGCATTGAAAAGCTTTGTAGCAGTGTTCTTAGACGGGAGCTCAGATGTGTCAAGTCGCTCAACAGTAGGTATATCGAAGTCGTCAAGGTGATAACTTGACGAAGCTATCGGCCCATCACAGAAGGATGTCAAAGCCGGTGAAGATATATCAGAAGTTGGATGACATATCTCGCACCCAAAGTCCATATATTTGCTCAACATCTGCAGCCATGATATCTCTGAGCTTTTACCAATGAAACCCGTAGCCCGTGTGAAGTCGTCCTTGTTAAAATCTTCTTCGGTATGGTCGGCAATGTGGGAACCAAGCGAAGTGGGTGAAAGATATGCCTCTGAGCCCAAGACCCAAAATAACTTCCTGTCTTCAGGTGTAGCGGCATATGCATCAGGCTGTGCCGTAGATGCAGCAGCCGATCCCTGCTTTCACTTAGTACAGAGGGATGAGGAAGGGGCATTCACACCCACTGCCAGCGCAAAACTCATCAACTGCTCGTCAGAGATACCGAATCGACTGCTCAGCTTTCTAAGGATATCTTCATAGGCCTGTATCTTTCCTTCTAAGCTAGCCATCTGTCTTTTGGAAGAGATTTGTGAATGTTGGCATGTTCAAGGCACCAAAGAACTAAGGAAATAAATCAAAGAACTTTGCCACTAACCTTTTAGATTTCTCTCGCTTGCCGTCAGTATAACAACATATGATTCCTGCCTCCTTACAATTTCGGCAGCCTGACTTATCCCCCGTGCATTTCGTTTTCCTCTGCCTGCAGGATTCGCATGCTCGACTAACATGCCGGCGATGGAACCTCCCAGGCGAGGTGAAAACAGACTCAGCTCCTTCTGCCAGTCTTGGTATGGCCATTTTCCTGCTACCCAAGATATGATCGATGTCGTGTGTGGATGGCGGGGCCATTGGAGTGTCCTGCATGTTATTAGGAGCATAAACACGTGAACACGGACGGAAAGTGGGATATTTGCTTTAGTGCTCGAAGAGACAGATCATACCCCATGGCTATAGCTTTTAGCACCAGAGGAAGATGCACTGAACATAGTAGGCTGCTCTTTCCAGGAGAGAAACTGCAGGTTAATCATCGTGTAATAAAAGCGACATGGATATATCGGAGAACTGAAAAATTTTTTTTAAACAAACAGGACAAGTACCAAGGCTTCACTACAAAGTCAATATATAAGACACGCATACCTAGGCAAATAAGGTTCTTACTTCTATGCGTACCAGAAATTGTTTGCTGCTGTCGATCAAGTTGCTTTGGCTTCTAGGGAAGAAACATCTCATAAGATGTCGCCATTATAAAGATGGCACTGAGACACGACTCACAACATATCCTGGAAAGGAAGTCAAAAGTGTCTCATATTTAACCACTGCAATTATACCAAGATAGGAAAATGAAACCCCCCAAAAATATAAATAAAGATGAAAAAGTTTCTCGGAGTGGCAGAGCGCCATGTGGGGGTCATTTCTGAGAGACATTTTGATGGATATCTGAAACCCATAATGCGCAGTTGCAATGGTATAGAAGCCAGAGTCAGTTAGGTTCTAGATGGATCGGGGAACTGGATGTTCACCGCCGATACCTAATGAGGCGATCAGGCTGTTTCCTATAAAATCATTGATTCTTTTTAACCGGGTGGCGGTTGATACTTGACAGGGGATATCCATCGTGCCCAAATGTCGCCTTAGACGCCGTGTAGGGGAGCCAGTGTGACATGTAGTGGAGTAGGGTTGATCGGTCACACCTAGAGCCTCCCTGCACGATCTCATTGGCTTCCACCATTTCAGCCGTATGCCCATTTTCACCGGAAGAGCCTCTCACAGGGCTGGTTGAACATGGTCTAGAATCACTCTTTTCCGTCTTGTCCCTATATGTAATGCTTATGCGAGGATGCATCTTTGGGGTTGCTGTTAGATGAGGTCAAAGTTTAAGTGAACAGAAATATTGGAGTGACGGGGCGATCCATAGTTGACATGACCGGTTGGAAACTTGACAGGTTTAGTTTCGATATTTCGGCCGAAGGTTAGGTTAGCAAGACATACGTACAATAGTAGGTAGTGGAAATGACAACCCTCATGCCTTGGTTGACTGAGATTCCCCGTTGATGCACCCCACCTGATCGTCAAGGGGATGGCCAGTGGCGTGGAAGAGAGGAGAATACCCCAACAGCTTCCTACGACCCCTGGCTACCGTACTTTAAATGTGATCCAATAACCAGTGGCTCATGTGAAATAGTTTGCACCTCCTCACCGAAAGGCTGACCATCCATGGCGGAGTGTTGGGGGTACGGATAGCCTGGAAGATCAATCAATGACAGGATTGACAGAGTGTTGTATACGCTAAGCATGAGCCGAGAGTCGTTTATTCCTTTTTCTGCCTTGTCCTCCGTGGCTCCGCCCCGTCGAGAGGGTGTCTCTCGGTGCTGACGTCTTTCATTACATCCGAATGACCCAGCTTCGACGACACCCATTCAATTGAGAGCCATGGTCAGCCGGGGGGGGGGGTTTAATGGTCTCATTCTCGCCCATGCCTCAATATTAGCATCGGCTGCAGTAGAATGCCGACTGTTCAAGATTGAGAAGGACGACGTAATGTGAAGATGGGAATACAACCAAAATACCATCGAAGGCAGGTGACTTTCAAGTTACCGCATTTATAGTAAAAAGACAACATCACTTATCGTTTCATGTGCTCTCCTGCCGTCCTACGAAGTTTGAAATTATTTTACTCCACCAAGAAAAATCAAAGGAAAAGAAAAATAAATAGAATCCAGAGGCATAACCTTATGGACTTTCTAATCAGATTCTGTGTTTCTTTAGCGACCGATGTTCAGTAGCGGGCAATATATGGTTGGAACAGACTTGCCCCTTTAGTGAGCCTAGGTATGTGGAAATATGATCTTCGGTATAGATCACTTATGCTCAAAAGTCGACCCCAAAAAATGCTAGTAATAACGCCCTTCCCTTGGTTTTAAACCGTGTACACCGAAGTTACCATCCTCATATAGACAACTAGGCGGGAATGATAATTTGAATTGAGAATATAAGAACAAAGGAGCCCTGGTCAACAGAATTAGAGGAAATTTGCAGTGATCAAATCTTAAAAAAGGCAATCCGAACATCATTAGTACTCTATACACCCAAAACGGTATTACTTGATCAAATAACCATCTGCAATGCTCTTCACGTCCTTGCTGAACCCGGTTTCTTCGCCATCCATTTCCAATAGGGAGACGGCAGTAACATCAACCTCAACGAAAGGATTCGTCTTGGAGAAACGAACGTTCATCGGGAAAAAGACGTTCTCATCAGAATCGCCGGTAGATTCAAACTCGAAGCTACCAGACGCGTTGTTTTCATCCACTGTTCCGATGTTCCAGTCGATGCTATCTCCGGTCACTTCGTACACAGCATCAAAACTAGATACAGACGGTTCCATTTCGCCATATGGAATAGTCACAACAACGTCACGCAGAGCGTCCGACCCAGTGAGCTCGTACTCAACGGTAACTGTAGTAGAATCGGATCCCTTATTCACCCAGACGGTGAAGGTGATAGGGAGCATATCGGCATTATCAGAGCTAGCGACACGCCAACGTAGTACGCCAATTGAGTTATTAACCGGGAATCGCTTGGTCGAATCCTTTAGTTGAATGACAGATGAGTCGGTGAAAGCAGCCTTATCAACATTTGGATGTGTACGGAACTGAGCTCCATGAGTAGGGTTGGTGGCAAGGTCAAGTCTGAGTTTGGTGAACGACGGATCGGAGATGCGGAGCTGTAAGTCGCCCTTGACTTCGAAGGATTTCAGAGCACCTTCACGAGTGAGATTGGCAGAGATTGTTTCTGCAATAGTTACGTGAACAGGATCCCGGTCAGCAGAGAGAGAGGCGCGAGCAGACGAAGTCTCCCCGATGACAGGAGTTGAAGCTTGCGGGGTGACTAGAGGGCTAGACTCCTCAGCTTCAGGCCCCAGATCGCCGCGGACTTTCTCGTATATATCCGTGGTTTTTGACTTCTTGCCGAGCTGCATGCCCTTCCCTCTGGTTGGCAATGGCCTAGAAAAACAGTTACTTGTTAGTTACTGTAACAAAGGCAGCAATGTATAGACACATACTTGGCAAATGATTTCTTCTTCTCTGCTTCATAAGAATCGTAGGTATCGGGTACGGCAGGTCGGGATGGGGGAGTGTAGGCAGGATAGGACGGGGTGCGTGGAGCCATAGCACGACCGGTGCGAGCTGCCTCCTTTCGCTGCATCTCCAACTGTTTCGCCTTTCTTTTGCGCTCCTCGCTCGCCTCGAGTTCTTTGTTCTAAAGAGTAATGTCAGCAAGCAACCAGCCACTTGCCCAGTAGAGATAGCTACCCGTTCAATGATCTCTTGAATTCTCTCCTCGTGGCTCTCCATTTCTAAGAAAGTCTTGATCTGCGACAGCGACAGATTCTCCCTGTACCCCAGTGTCACCAGCTCGTCATATGCGCTGAGTAGCTCGAAGGCATTGCGCAGAATTTCCCGCTCGTCTAAGCTCTTGCAGATGCTGGTAGTAACTTGGGCAAATAGGTGGAGGCTATCAATGTCTTGAAGAATGTTGGATTGACGGTTGGTAATCAGGACAATGTATAGCTCATCCAGGGGCTGGTACACAAAACGGACATTGTCTTGTTCAACGGTGGTGTGCTGGGTGCCAGAATCTGCCAGTTTCGGGAAGGATGCGAGCAGAGCTTCGATTCTGGAGCGAGCAATCTCACGGAACTGGCGCGAGAGAACTGCTTTTCCCCCGCGGGTGCATATGGACGCTGCGAGTACGACCTATGTTTGTGTGTTGACAACGGTTAGCAATATTTAGTGGGATCACTAAAAGAGGTAACAAACCATGACTGTATAATAAGCGGTCTAAATCCGTTTCGATGGTAGTCGAACGAAATGGCAGCTTTAGTGGAATGACCGATTATCTGAAAGCGTGTCCAGACTGTGCCCGAATGCAATGCCAGGTATTCCACTCCAGCGGCGGAGCCGCTTGCTGTTCACTTCTGTCTCTCCGTTGGCCCGTGCACAGCGCTACCCCCTCGCTTACCACAGCACAAGAAGGAGACCGAGAGAGCCTAACTTTGCTGCTGGCGACCTCTACACGTCTACCAACCCGTCAACCCGTCACCTGCCTCTATCTCCTTTCCTTGTTATCTTTCATTGTTTTCTCACACTGACGGTTGCCGAAAGGGTCTCTATCTCTTCTACTTTACGTGTTGGTTGAGACTTTCTTTTCTCCTTAGTAAGCGTAGCAGGCACACCTTTATTCGAACTCCCATCTTTGACAGTTGGGACGTCACCCTGAAGTCTTCCGCGATTCCCCTTACCCGTTGCTTTTTAAGACATTCATGCCATGGCCATAGCCTCTTCGTTAGCATTTTCTGCAATGGAACCCCCTGCCGTCGATGACACGATGGAGATGGCTTCGCCTTATCAGGGGCATGCCGATGATTTCGACATCGACCTCGATGTCATGGACGACCAAGCCTCAAACACCGACAAAGATATGATGGGAGCCGACGAATATGAAGAAGCCCCACATGGAACAGAATACGAACAGGACGACCCAAACGATGCGGATATGATAGATGAGGTCGCCGAACCGGCCATGCTTGATGTGGACGATCAGTATGCAGAGACAAGTTACAGTGTCGAGATGCAGTACGGCACCGAGAAGATCTATGAGGCGGAGATGCTAGAAGATGATTACGATGAAGACATTGATGCCCCTGTTCCAGAAGCCTCTGTACCAGAATCTCAAGAAGCACCGGCATCCCTTGAGCCAGCGGATAATCAAGTAACATCAAAACACATCTTAACGGAAAAGAATGATAGCGATGAAGCCACTAGCAGAGAACACATTGTGGAAGCGCGCCCCGAGAATAACGCCGAATCCGCGCACCCCCAAGATGAAGCACCGAAAGAAGTTTCTCCAGAGTACCATCATCAAGTTGAAGACAACATTAACCAGGAGACCGAAGTGGACCAGTCCGGGTCTGCGGATTTGGATAATAACGTCATTGACACTAACCAACCAGAACAAGCAGATATACACGAAAGTCCTGGTGATCATAAAGATCATATAGCTGGCGCCGAAAGCCCCGAAGTTCATGAAGAAGATGCAGGTGAAAATCGGCAAACAGCGGACGAGAACAAAGAATTGGAGCCGGAAGAAAGGAAAACCACTGAAAGTGAAATAGGACAAGATGAGTCTCATGGGCAGGAGACGGAACTTGCGGAACACGACGAGCAAGAGCAGGATACGACTAAGGATTCTTCGTTGTACCCTGTGAGAGTGTACTACCAAGACAACGAAATCTCGCTATTTCCTCCCCAGGAGGGTGACTCCTCCGAAACATTTTTCCTCGAAGATGAGAATCTCGCATACACACCGTTAGGGGAGCTCTTCCAGTCCTGCCGTCGAGTGCTCCAGGACAATGTTGGAGACAATGAGGTTCTCGTTATGGATGTTGACGCTTTGAACATTCAACTTACTGAGGTTCGTCACTCTTTCATTATTTATTGTACAAATGCTGACTGTCTGGACCAGGATTCTTTACATATATCAAAGGTGACTTTGTACCAGATTGTCGACCTGTATCTGCAGTTGTGCCACAATGATGGAATTGATGAACCTGAACCGCTTTATCTCACTCTCAACACAAAACTAACTATACCTGCCGAAGTATCTGACCTTCTCCTAGCTGCAAGCGAAGGAAAAGGGTTGTCTGAAATCCATTCATGGGATGGCTATCAAGAAGTGGAAGCAGCTTCAGCAGAGATCTTGGAAGCAGACGATCAGGAAGCGAGCCTCGCCGAGGAACAGCAAGGAGTCTCTGACCAGCATGAGTGTCACCCCTCTGAGTCGCAGGAAATTCATGGAAACGAGTCAAATGCTCAAGAGCAGCAAGCTGGGGGGACCCAACCGGATGGACAAAATCCCGAAAGTGATGATGATGCAGGTGCTGATACATCGGGTGGTATTACTGAAGAGACCGGCGGTGATGGTGAGACTAAGGCTCCCACTCAGCCAGGACTTGAGAACCCTGAGCTTCACGATCCCCAGTCACTAAATGAAGAATCGTATGACTCTGGGGAGGAGCAGCATACAGAATCGACTGCTACTATTACTAATTTGTCGGCAACTGATCTAACAGAGGAGCAACCAGATCCTGACGGCTCTACGGATGTTCTACATGATGATCACCAAGCCCACGATATCCATGAAGAACAATATGCACTGGGAAGCACCAACGACGAAGGTTACCCCGAAGAGGGAAACATTCCGATCAATACCAATCACAATGACGGTTCTGAGGAGGCTGAGGGCGATGCTTCTGATCATAGACATGATCACCAGGCAGCTGAGTCAACCACAGAAGAGCTTCGGGAGGAATCTCCGCAAGAACTTGATGAAGACAATAAATCCAAGGCCAAGGGCGCTGTGACTCAATATCAAGACGATGAAACCGAAGAGACATTGCAGGGCGATAAGAGTGATGCTTTGCCTAAAGTGGATAACATTGGCTCAGATCTGTCAGGAAACAATGTTCAACCCAATCCCGACCTGGCAGATGACCCGTTAGTCATCTCAGAGGACATCTTGAATAGTCCTACTCAAGCTTCGGCGATTGCGGACAATGATATCGAGGGTGCAGAGCTGCCTGAGGAATTTAATGATATAACCGGGCACATCACATCAAATCATGCCAACCAGGAAACCGAAGAGTTGCCCTTTGACGACGACGAGGAAGACTATCTGGACCTGGGAATCGCAGAAGAGCTCGGTGTTACTGAGGGACCTGGCATGAATTCGCCCGGTCTAGCATCTACTAAACGACACCGCGAGCCGGAAGACGAGTTCGAGCTAGCCGAGAGTCCTACTCCGGACGCTAAACGTTCCAAGTCATCATGATCTCCAACGTTACTCGTTTCTCGCTTCCCCTAGTCTAGACCTCTATTCTGGGCTATGTGGGCTGTTGTTGGATTCGCCTAACCAGCCACTGCACCTTTCGGTTCATACTGATTACAGTATTGTTTCCGTTAGGGTCAACTAGTAACTATGACCTAACTACTAACAAAATCTATCCGGCGCGCCGAGTTTGAGAAACACTTCACTGAACCAGGTATGTATCACCCTCATAACTCCGTCATTCTCTCGAGGGATACTCTTAACGTATACCTTCAACCTTCTCGCCATGCGAATACGACTCGTAAGTTTAGGTTTGTACACATTATTTCGACTTGAGATTACTTGAACTCTGCCTTCCTTACATCTCAACCCCTTTTTGTTGCATTAATTGTGACTTCTGGCTCAAGTGATACCGCTTGACATTTCGGCGTTATACGGCGTGTAAGGTTTTCTCATACCAAAAGCGCTATACCCAGATAGCAGTTCAGCACCGGCACCGTGGGTTATTCACCCTTCGGGCCCTTGCCTCTCCAGGGGTGCACAATGATATCTTAAGTTTTCGTTTTGATCTACGGCGTTTCTTCTGAGTATTTCGCAGTCGCTATCTTTGTATGCACGGAAGGGTTCGGGATTTGAGACTGAATAAGGTGAATGGACATTTGCGAAGGGAGTTTGTACGACGGGGTGTACCGGGCAGCCGTACGGAGTAAAGAAATAATGCTAGGTACCAATGTTGATTGACTGCTATAGCCTGTCCGTAATACCTCTTCCCGTACTCCGTATTCTAACCTCCTATTCAACCAACTTGGAATTCGATGTACGATGCAAGGGTTTTTCTTGAAGGGGACGGCTATGCCTACTACTTGGTCAACCGCAAGTCACGTGTCTCCGTGTGCGAATAGGGAGCCTGCCATCCGAGCAGATTGATTTTAGGTTACAGTAGTCTAGGGACAATGCATAGCGTTAAAGCATCTCATAGCCTGGACGGCCTCTCAGGTGAGGGGTTGTTGGTGATAGAATTCTGGAAGGAGGTAGTGGGAGGCTATATTGTATTATTCATGAATTTCTGATACTGGAAGTCTGGAATACGTAGCTAATCTCCAGAGGGGCTGGGAGTGGATACCTCGGCAGTTTAATTAGGCCCTCGTGCCAGGCTCTTATGATGACAGGGATTTTCAACGGTGAACAGAAGAACAAGAAAAGAGGATAAAAAAGTTAACAAGGGTAACATATCATATCACATGATACTTGCAGTAACCTGTCAGTTAAACAGTATCTTGTGTAATATACTGGTAACCAACTTTCTGCCAGGGACTGGTAACAGTAACCACTGTACGGAGTAGCGCCGGGAAACAGATTGCCAAATTAATTAATTAATCATTCTTAGACAACATATGAGATTCCCCAAGATGTGAAACGCCGATCAGACACACAGGAACGGTTCAACAAGGAGCACCAAGGGGCTTGCGCGTTGGGGTGCTGGCTAGTGATTGGGTGGCGGGTTGTGGCCACCTATGCCCTTCATTACGGAACCTAGGTTGGGTATGACCATTCCAGCCCATGATGGTTTACCCTATCCACGCCGTAAGAGGGCACTACAACCTAACAGTGGGCATGCATACAGTGCATATAGTACATCGATGCGGACATTTAGCACGGAGTCGTTTTTATGATGTTATACTCCGTACAGTAAAACCACTTCTGTACTTAGTATAGGTATCCATCTTAGTCAATGATAATCGCAACAATATCCTACTCCATAGTAGTACGCAAGGTTGGCACTCTATTCTTAGTATGGTGGCGCGGATAGGTAACTACTAATTGGGTAGAATTGAGTCCTTGTATTGAATTCGATTCTCTGCACTGGTGACTCTCTGGGCTGTATACTAGATTTCAATGTTCCGAGAGAGCAAGGCTAAGGGAATCACAGATCCCATTTTTCGACGCTTGTAATATTATTATTTTTTCAGCTCCTCTCCAAAGCAGACTGTGGGCTTTTTATTCATCGCCTCCAACCACTTACGCGTCCAA